AAAAAAAATCAGGTATCCATATGTGTGTGGATTTATGCCTAGGTCTTCAATTCAATTCCATTGATCAACATGCCTGCTCTTATGTAAATATCATGTGACTTTATTACTATAGTTCTGTAGCAGAACTTGAAATCGGGAATGATGAGACCTCTGGCAGTTCTTTATTGTTTAAAATTCTCTGGTGGAATTTTTTTCATTTTTGTATTTCAAAAATTTTTTCCTTTTAAAATTTATTCTTATAAATTTCATTTTACATTTCAACTAGTTTTCCCTCCCACCCCTCTTCATACCCCCCTCACCTCCCCTGCAGCCCACCCTCAGTCCACTCCTCGACAGGGGTAAGGGCTCCCATGAGGAGTCAACAAAGTCTGGCACATTAGGTTGGGTTAGGACCAAGCCGCTGTCCTATGCATTAAGGCTAAGCATAGCATTCTGCCATACGGAATGAGCTCCAGCAAGCTAGCTCATGTTGGTGGAATTTTTTTAGGGTCATTTTTGTATACTATATCATCTGCGAATAACAATACTTCTGTTTTCAATTTGTATCTGCTTGATCTTCTATAGTTGTTTTATTGTTTTAACTAAGATTTTAAGTACTACATTGACTAGTTATGGAGAAAGTGGACAACCTTGTCTTGTTCCTGATTTTAGTGGAATTGCTTTAAGTTTCTCTCTGTTTAATTTAATATTAGCCATAGGTTTGCTCTAAACTGCCCTTATTATGCTTATGTATGACTTTTTATTCCTAATCTCTTCAGGACTTTTATCATGACAGGGTTTTGGATTTTGTCAAAGGACTTTTATGCATCTAATAAGATGATCATGTGGTTTTTTTTCTTTCAGTTTGTCTATATGGTAGATTACAGTCACTGATTTTTGTACATTGAACCATCCCTGCCTCTCTGGGATTAAGCCATTTTGGTCATGGTGGATGACCTATTTGTTCATGGATTCAGTTTGCAAGTATTTATTGAGTACTTGTGCGTCTATGTTCATAAGGGAAATTGGCCTGTAATTCTCTTTCTTTGTTGGGTCTTTATGTGGTTTGGGTATTGGGGTAACTGCAGCCTCATAAACTGAATTTAGCAATGATCCTTCTGCTTCTATTTTGTGGAACAATTTGAGGATTATTGGCATTAGCCCTTCCTTGGAAGTCTGTTAAAATTCTGCACTAGGCCGATTTGGTTGGGAGAGTTTTAATGACTGCTTCTATTTCACTAGGGGTTATAGGCATGTTTGTTTATCTGATCTTGATTTAATATTCCGTCATAGTAGAATATTCCTTTATACTATTTTTTTTTTTTTGAGACAGGGTTTCTCTGGCTTTGGAGGCTGTCCTGGAACTCACTCTGTAGACCAGGCTGGTCTCGAACTCCCAGAGATCCACCTGCCTCTGCCTCCCGAGTGCTGGGATTAAAGGCGTGTGCCACCACCGCCCGGCTCCTGTATACTATGTTAAGATATGTTACTGTTTAATAAAGAGCTGCAAGGCCATTAGTTAGGCAGAAAGAAGTTACGTAGGACTTCTGGGGACAGAGCTCTCTGGGAAGAAGAAAGGCAGAGTCTCCAGACAGATGCAGAGGAAGCAGGGTGGGCAGTGTAAAGGAAACTGTGCCACATAAAAGTATGTAGATTAAAATGAATGGGTTAATTTAAGTTATAAGAGCTAGTGGGAGAAGCCTAAGCTAAGGTCAAGGTTTCATAATTAATAATAAGTCTCTGTGTCATTGGGAGCTGGTGACCCAAAGAAAAATTCAAGTATATTTAACTTTAGTAAGTGGTATCTACCCAGAAAATTATCCTTTTAGATTTTCAAAGTTGGTGGAGTACAGGTTTTTAAAGTATGTCCTTATGATTCTGTGGATTTCTTCTATGTGTTTTATGCCATCCTTTTCAGTTCTGATTGTTAATCTGGGTATTTCCTCTCTTAGTTAGATAAGGGGCTGTCTATCTTGTTGATTTTCTCAAAGGGCCAACTTGATGTAATTGATTCTTTGCTTTGTTCTCTTTTATCTTATTGATCTCAGCCTTCAGTTTCATTATTTCTTTCCCTCTGCTCCTCATGGGTGTGCTTCTTTTTGTTGTTCTAGTGCATTCAGATGTGCTGTTAAATTGCGAGTATGAGATCTGTCCACTTTTTTTTTTACATAGACACTTAGCTATGAATTTTTCCTCTTGTGTCCCATAAGTCTGGTTATATTGTATATTCATTTTCATTGAATTCTAGAAAGTAATTTTGTATTGACTCATTTCTTATTCAGTAGAATTGTTCTGCTGTATGAATTGCAAACTTTATATTGTTTCTGTTATTGTTGATATCTAACTTTAATCTGTGGTTGTCTGATAGGATGCAGAGAATTATTTCAATTTTCTTGTATCTGTTGAGACTTGTTTTGTGTTCAAGTATATGGTCAATTTTGGAGAAAGTTTCATGAGGTACATAATCGAAGGTATTCTTTTTTGTGTTTGGGAGAAATGTTCTGTAAATATCTGTTAGGTCCATGTAGTTTACAACGTTATGTTAGTGCTGGTATTTAACTGTTTAGTTGTTGTCTGGGTGACCTGCCTATTGGTGAGAGTGGTGTACTGAAGTCTCTCACTATCAGTGTGTGAGGACCAATATTTGATTTAAGGTAATAGTGTTTCTTTTACAAACTTGGGTGCTTCTGTGTTTGGGGCATAGATTTTAATAAGTGTAATATTCTCTTGGCAGTTTTTTGCTTTGATGAGTATGTGGTATCCTTCCCTACTTATTCTGATTAGTTTTTTTATGTCTATTTTGTCAATATTAAAATGACTACATCAGCTTACTTTTAGCTCCATTTGCTTGAAATATCTTTTCCCACCTTTTTGTCCTCAAGTGATATGTATTCTTGATGTTAGTCTGTCTTTTTATTTGGAGTATTGAGATCACTGATGTTGAGAAATATCAGTGATCAATAATTGTTGATTCCTGTTATTTTGTTGTTGTTGGTGGTAGTAGTGGTGCTTCCCTTTTTCTTGGTTTTGCTGGCGTGAGATTATTTCTTTCCTGTGGTTTCATGGGTATAGTTAACTTCCTTAAGTTGGAGTTTTCCTCCTAACATATTCTATAGAGCTGGATTTGTAGATGATATTGTTTAAATTTGGCTTTATCATTGAATGATCTTATTTTCACCATCTATGGTGACTTAAGGTTTTTCTGTTTACAGTAGTCTGGACTGGCATCTGTGGTCTCAGACTCTGCAGCACATCTGTCCAGGCCCTTCTGGCTGTTAGTCTCCATTAAGAAGTCTAACTCTGCTTCTTATAGCTAACTGGCTTTAGTAATGCTCTCACAACCAAAAAAACTACAAACCAATAATGACTTTTCATGAATTTTGAACCTTTTGGCTTGAGCATTTTTATGAATTTTATTAGAGCATGCAGAGACAATAGTGTTAATAGTAACCTGTGTTAAAAACTGGTATCTTTCTCTCACACACAACACACACACACACAAATTTTATTAAAAATTCATTTTGGGTACATAATATCATTCATCCCATGCTGGCTTCAAAGCTGCTATGTAGCTTAGAGTGATCTTGAAATTACAATCCTCTTGCTGTACTAAATTGTGCACCACCATGCCTGCTTTATGTGATGCTGTGGGTGTGGTAGTTTGAATGTAATTGGCTCCCTTAATCTCATAAGAAGTGGCACTATTAGGAGGTGTGGCCTTGTTGAAGTAGATACGGTCATGTTGGAGGAAGTATGCCAGGTGAGGGTAGGCTTTGAAGTCTTATATATGCTCAAGCTATGCCAACTGCTTCAGTCCAGTTCCTGTTGCCTTCTGATTAAGATGTAGCCAGCATCAAGGCTGCCTGCCTACCAGCATGCTTCCCGCCATGATGATAATGACTGAACCTCTGAACTATAATTGAGCCATATTTTCCTTGTAAGAGTTGCTGTGGTCATGGTCTCTTCACAGAAATAGAAACCCTAACTAAGACAGTGGGCAAGCCATTTTTGTGGGAGTGCATGTATGTGTATGGACAAGTTCTCAGAAGCCATCTACCCTGCCTTTTAAAGACAGGGTCTCTCACTGGCATGAAGCTTGCTGAGGATAGGTTGGCTAGTCATCAAGCCCTGGAGATTCACACCCAGAGCTAAGATTACAAGGTAGTGCTACTACACATAGCTTTTGTCTCCCTCTCTCCCTCCTTCCTTCATTCCCTCCCCATCTATCTAAAAACTGTGTGTTCTGGATCTCATGTTCATGGCAAGCACTTTACTGACTGAGATCTCTCCCCAGTTCCCAAAGTTGTTTTAAATTTTTCACAGCTGCTTAATGTAAATTAATGCCACAGTATTTGTTAATAATTTAACAAATTTTAGCCGGGTGTTGGTGGCCTATGTATTTAATCCCAGCACTTGGGAGGCAGAGTGAGGTGGATCTCTGTGAGTTCGAGGCCAGCCTAGTCTACAGAGCGAGTTCCAGGACAGCCTCCAAAACAATACAGAGAAACCCTGTCTAGAAAAACAAAAAAAAAAAATTAACAAATTTTAAAAGAATGGATCAAATCTTTCCTTGATGTCATGAAATACATAAAATCTGGCTTAGCATGAATTATAAATCCAAAATTTAACAGTTTCAATAGCTCAAGTGGCAAAAAAACATTCAACCAGCCAAATACCAGCAACATAAACAGGTTAACTAACTAATAACTGCATTGAAAGCTGTGCCTACATACACTGGGGTCTATGGAAGGTAACTCTATAGAAGACAAAGGCTTCTGGCTAAGAAGACAGATCCAGACCCATTCCCTAAGTGCTTCCTTCTGTCTTTGGCACATGCATCTACAAGAAGACATACCTCTAGGCATTTATTTTCATGGTTTTCTACCCATTGTTTAAGATCCCATCAATGTACTTTGTTGAGACTTTTATTTTCCCAAACAGGAAAGTAATGAGTTTGTTATAGGTGGGTTAGGGTTCATAAGCTGTTTAAATTGTTTTTCAAGAAATTCTTCACACAAATATTAGACTTTATCACTGTATAAAAATGTACAGTGGTTTTATTGACATGTACATTCCAATATGTTTACAGCTGCAAGATAATGAGGCACACTCAGTATTGCACTTCATTAAAATTTCAGGCTCAAACTTAACCTAGAAGTTTAAATGAAACTGCTTTTGTAATTTAGTAATTCTTATACAGGACAAACATTGATAGCTTTATATACAGTGTGATACTTATTACATTTATAGGCCTTACTAACACAATTTTTTTTTAAATAACAGTCTAGGAAATAAACCAGAATATTCCTCTTTTTATCCCCACCCGTGATGCAATTGTACAGGATTACAAAAAGGCAGTATACAATAAACAGTGATTATTTTTCTTTTTTGCTTGAAAGCCAGCATCATTCTTAGTTCATGAGTATGGTGATCCTTTTATATCAATTATCTATAAATGTCCAATGCTTCACAGGCCAATAACGGTAATGGCCACATGCAAACACCTCACAAGTTTGATATCTTGGTTCAAAAGAAGATAAACCAAAATATTAGGGCAATGTTCCGTAGCAAGAAGTATATACATTGTATTTGGCATCATTCTTGCACTGCGAATGGTTCGTTTTCACGGATGTAAAATGGTCCCGTTCTTATCCTGAGCAGAGTTAAACCTCACTGCATCCTCCCAGTGGATGAAGGCAACGTGCTCTCTGTAGACAAAGGATCTGACTGTTCTAAAAAGTGTGAGCATTTCTGCACACTCCACACCCCAGAGCAAACTCTTCCCCAGTGGGTGGATGGACAACATGCAGGGGACACTCAGTTCCTTCCAGCTGTTTGCCTTTGGGACCTGCAAACATTTTGAAGGAGGTAAAGGAATGTAGTTTTAAAACATACACATATAAATGGCAGATGATAAAACAAGTTATTCAGAGAACTAACATGACTATCAGTAAACTAAAAATAATTTTCTTCTTACTACATATATGTTCACTATGAAAACTTCAGCATGGCAAGTATTTGTATCTAATCAGATAACAGGAAGTGAAATGTCCCCTGACCCTTAACATTCTGCCCCGAGGACCACTGAGCTACAAAGCTTTTCCTATTGGTGGATGAGATAGTCATTTTAAAGCAAGGAGCAACAAGCAAAAGTGGACACAAAAGTCTCTCACCTTAATTTAGCAGAAATTTATTCTGCATGGGAAAATAGGACATTTTTGTTGGGAGAAGTTTTTTTTTTTAAAACAAGTAAAATCAAATTCAAATATAAATGGACAACATTTACATTTACATTCAGTGAAGAAAAATTTGCACACTGGTAAAATGGGAAGACTGGTAATGAGTGTCAGTTGTTAAAAAGTGTCTGAAGCAAGATTAGTGGCAAAGTCAAGATGAGTTTGAAATATGAACATTACAATAACAGACTGTAGCAGACTGGAAAGAAATACCTTGGGAAAGATACCAGTTTGCAATCAAGTAGGCTTATGCAAACATAAAAGAAAACCTGACCTTTTCTATTAAAAATTTCAAGATACATAATAAATACAGAGCGTGGTATGTGATCCGTGTTAGCCAGTATTCCAGTACTGAACAGTGACAGACTGATCTTGTGAGGTTCACAAAAGAAGAGGAAAAGGCATGGGTGTAGGTGAAGACGGCGAATCTCAGAGGAAATACCAGTTGCTGGCTGGGAGCAATGGTCTGAGCTCATGATGACCAAAGCAGTTACACAGCTTTAGACAAATATGGGCACAGGTCCAGGACGGGTCAGCAGGGAGGACAGCAGACACTGGACAATGAGTTGGTTATGGTCGTCATATACTATAAACGGAGCAGACCCCCATCTCCAACAACACTGCGGGCCATGTGACCTCCATCTGCTGCCTTCCGCATACTGCAGTCACTGGGTTTGCACGGGGAAAAGACATGGGGCGATTTACTTCACAGCCATTCACTGCCTACGGGTGTGAATGCTGTTGCCAGGTACTTGGGATTGAGAGATGAACGAACAGTGCATAGTACGTGACTTGCACTTTCAAGGAGCTCAAACATTACCTGACACAATGGTGAGAAACAGTAACAGCAACAGCAAAAACGAACAAAATGAAGGAAAACATCTGTAAGCACTGCAACCCTATGACCACATATTTTGTATAGAGTCTGAGGTGCAATTAACTTTCCTAAATCTCTGTCACCTGTTAGATGGACACAGCAATATTACACATACACGGTGATACGGACATTAAGTATCCTGGCACCAAGGAAATAAAATTTTTAGGAATGGACATGTGGGATTGATTATATTATAGCCTGAATATTTGATGGCCCTCAAATTCATAGCTTGAAACCCAGTCATCAATGTGATGGCATTAGGAGGTGGGGCCTTGGGACATGCCTGAGTCATCAATAGGAATGGGATCACTGTAAGTGAATTGACCTGAAGGCCTTCTGTCCTATGTGAGAGCGCAGCAAGAAGGCACCATGCGCCTAGGAACACGAGTGTGGGCCCCCTAGACACCAAGCTGCCAGACTTCCCCAACTCCAGAGCGGTGGTAGACAGACTTATCGGTAAGTTTGTGATTCATGCTGTTCTGGTAGACTCTAAAAGACCGTGGCAGTCAGTCTACTTCAGCTCCTCATCTCTACTCCTGTCCCCATACACTTTTAGACAGGCCCACGGACAGAGCGGAGGGTGGCTGGAGAACTGCTCCTCCATCCCTTCAAGCACACCCTGCATGTGGCCTCTTCTCTACCGGTTCCACTGTGTGCTCTCTTAACTTCTATTCACTCCAGTTCTCCCAACGCCTCGCAATGGGGAAGGTGTGGTGCTGGGAGGGAAAACTGTATGCTACATGCATCGGTTTCTGCCAATTCACCAATTTCTTTAGGCTCAACTCTCAATTTGTAAATGTGGAGACAACACTCTCCACTCTGGAAGTTTGCAAAAATTAAATAAGAAACTAAACATGAAAATGCCCAGAGGATGAATATTAATTAGTTCCTTCCTTTTGCCTTCTTAACTCTCGGGCTGTCTCACTCCTGTGATTCAGAGCTGGCTGAAGGACAAAGTCCCTTTGCAGTTGAACCTGGTCATCTGCACACATGGAAAGCCTGCCTTGGTTTGACCTCTCATCTCAGCTACTCCCCCCACTACGGTATCCTCTGGAATACTTACTTCTTTGCAAACGTCATCGTTTTTAAAAAAAAAAAACAATTTCCTTCATTAGTACACTTTGAATTTTCCCAGCTCACCTTCAAATTTTCTCAGCTCAAAACTGATTGCCCAGGCTCCTCCCATGTCCTCTGGCCTTTCTCCTGGTTCCTGCTTATTTCTAGACTTTGACCTGCAACTTCTACTGAGTCTCTACTTGCTTCAAGTGAAGACCCTCTCTGACACTCTCATTCCTCACCCCACTTGCTGGCTTTAGCTCACTCCTCTTGCTCATCGTCATGGCTCCCATCTTCATCTACTGACAATCACCCTAAATGCTCTGGCCCCTCCTAGCACTCTCAATTTGCTTCTTTCCAAGTCTGCTACCAACTAGAGGGGGTTTTGATGGAGATCAGTAAAATAATTTTTATTTGACACAAAAAATGGCAATATATTTCATATGACTGGAAAGTCAAAATGTTAATTCTTTTTAATTAATTATAAATCACCTGTTTATCTTCCCATCTCTACAATAGCTAATCAATGAAAATTTTCCTGTTTCTTGTCTATTTCGTGACATTTACCTGTGCACATATAGATGAGTCTATATCCGCACTCTCCCCTTTCTTCCCAAGGCAACACAGTGCTTTCCCCTTCTCACCTGTGCTGTGTTTGAGATCTACGCAGATCAGTACACAGAGACTCATTCTTTTTAAGTAGTAACTGACAATGTTTAGTGTCGTCCTCTGTTGGACACTAGTGCTACTGACCCACTTTTACTATTATACGAAGTGTTGCAATGGGTCCTATATACTTGCTCATTTGCATTATTCCCTGAAGTATATCCCATAGTCAGGACCGCAGGGTGGCGAGTATGATAGGTGGAGCTACGGCAGCGCTTTCCAGGGGACCTACCATTTGTACAAGCCACACGTGGGAGGAGGCTGTGCTTCTTAGCTGGAACAAAACCATATACTGTCACTTTGTACCTGTGTACACTAACTACAGAACAGCTCACATAAAATTCTCCTCTCTTTCTCATTTACCCTTCGCTACCCCCTGACTCTCAAGCCTGGTTTCTCTTCTCTATGGACCATGAGAGGCTCCTGGCATCTTACAATTTTTTTTTTCAGACTCTTGGGTTCTGTGTTTTGTTTTTTTCTTAGTCTGATCTCCACGGACAGTCATTTGTTTTATATTCTTGGTGAATTCTTTAATTTTCCTAGGTTTCTGGTCCTCACTGCAGCTACTTCCCAGGTATTCAACATCAAATCACTTGTCTATTTTATGAAAACCTCCTTGAGGAAACAAATAAACAAAACAAAACAAAACAAAAAAACCCAAACCACCCCCCCACTAAAAAGAAAAAGCACCAAAACATCACAAGCTGGGCCTGGTGGCCAGGTCAGTAACCCAAAACAGTCAGCAGGGCTGCAGGTGTGGGGCTCTGCCTGGTCTACAGAGTGAGTTTAGGCTAGCCTGGGAAACTTACTTAGACCTCGTCCCCAAATAGAAACTTCCAAGACTGTGTTCAGTGGTATGGAATTTGCTAGGCACCACAGTTAATCCCCCTGCTTCAAAAATCAATGAAAACAACCCTTTCACGTTGTTCGGCCGTGAATTTAAGATATTAACTTTTAAATGTTTGTTCTCCTTTCTCTGACAGCAGACTTTGGATTCTCAGTAGATACCATTCTCCTTCCTCAGGAGATGCGTCACTGGAGAGTCTTACACCTGACACATGACCTCTGCTTTTTATCAAATTCAGAAAGCCATCAGCTGACAATGGCGAAGAACCCTCCATCATTAGAAACAGTTTAAAACTCCGTACTACATACATCATAATTGTGAGCTGAAAATACTGAAACACACCTGCAGGACAGTGTGGGAGTTCTTCTTTAGGGATGCTAGTCATTCTTTGAAAATCATCATGACATGCATTGCAGAAATGTGTTGTTCCAAAACAGAAGAAGACAGCCACTGAACAGCAGTAGCGACACTTGTATTCTAAAAAGTCTGTTCCATGTTTGGGACACATCTATAACAAAAGATGAGAGAAACAAGATTATAGTGAGCTATCGCAACTATACTTACAATAGCTGAATACATGTATAGTAGACTCAAGTGCATAGCTTATTAATCAATATTTTGAGAGAATATGTAGCTCCCAAAGCTGATTAAAAAACCAATGGTTAAAAAATTAATGAGTAAACGTGTGGCCCAAAAGATCTGATAAAAGCCTTAAGTTCAAGTTTAATCTCCCACACAATCTATCTTAATGAGCAAACTAATTTCCTCATGAATGTTTTATTGAGCTAGAAAGCTGCACAGTAATAGTTTACTACCTACCAATCTCATAGGTATACGGTGAAAGTTTCATTAAAGATGGGAGAGCCTAAAAGTTTGAGAGCAGGCTTATGAAATGAAATTAGTAAAATGTTTTCCTCTTCCTTAAATAAAGTGATCACTTCATGGAAGACAACTATAGAATGAAAATATCGAAAGGGAATAACATACGTGAACAAATTTGAGATATCATGCACTATCCTGATTAGTATCAGAATACACTACATGCAGGGGTAGAGTCATGTATAAACGGTCTTATTTTACAGACAGATAAGGCTTATTTTCATTATTTTTAATTCTGTGTAGGTGTGTATATGTCTGCATGTGTGTTTGTGAATATGAGTGCAGGTGTTCTTGGAGGCTAGAGGTGTCAATCCTCAGAACTGGAGTTAATGAAGTTAATGGAATTAACTGGAGCTGCCTGATGTGGATGCCGGGAACCAAGCTTGGGACCTCTGGAAGAGCAGCAGCAAGTGCTCTAAACTGCTGAGCTTTGACTCTTTGGAGTGTCTAATAAAATGCTCTGCCTACCTGAGCCCTGGACACGTCAGAACAGGCACCACAGATGAGCTCTCTGGGGTCGTAGTCATCTCCTTGTCCAGCTTCAGCATCACAGCGAGCTTCACCACCGAAATATGCCTATGGAGAAAGCATGTTCACATGAAGCTAGAGCACGGGACATACTCCCACGTCATGCCATGTAAATATGTCTGTACTGACAACTGTAGGGAGAACTGGGGTCAGAAATGAAGCTAGTTATTCATTCATTCTTTCGTCTTGTTTCTTCCAGACAGGCTCTCTTGGCTGTCCTAGAACTTGCTCTGTAGAACAGGCTGACCTGAAACTCAGAGATTGGCTTGTCTCTGCCTCTGAAGTGCTGGGATCAAAGGTGTGCACCACCACATCTGGCTTAAAATAAAGCTATTCCAATTTGGGAATGGAGACACACATTCAGAAGGAGGGAGTCAGAAAAATTGTGACGTTAAAGGAAAATGGTGAGAGAACATACAATATTCCAAACAAGAATGAGGGATAGGGTATCAAATAAATACAAATGATGCTTTTTCAGGGCAAAGTTGGAAATTTTTCTCATTTTAAAATCTTAAAAACCATATTCTTTTCTAGTGTTTGAAACATGCTTATCAGTTCCTAGGTCACAATGACACGTAAGAAAATGTGCCTGACATAAATTAGGACAGAACTAATATCAATAAAGTCAATTCAAGCATCTTCTGGTCATACAATTTTTAAAATGAACAGAAATTTAATAAATTCTATTCAGAATACTGTTCATACTTACAAACCTATGCTATATTCAGAATCTTAATAATATTCAATATGAACACTAGAATGAATGAAATTATCATGATGGCCAGTTGGTTGTTACTTATTTTGGGCACAAAATAAATGAGGCCAAGAAATTGGGACAATTTACATGTACATTATGTCTGTAGTCAAAAAGCCGAGGATAAATAAGGTGAGTCAACATAAATCTATTATCTGTCCTAGAAAAACAGGCCAAAGCCAGGCTCCATTGATGCAGAGTTTACAAATGGTCACTTGTCAGCTAAATCTGGCTTTACTGGTATGTCACTTATGCCAGGCCATTTGCTTATTCCAGCAGCTCCCGTTTTCCATATCTTCTCCTTAGTGTGGCTTCTTAAACATATGACTGTTACCCCCGTGGAAGCACAATATTCATTTATGGTATGTGCACAATGATCACACATAGATGCTATCTTACAAATATATGTCCTTGCTCTTTCCTTGTGTATCTGTGTGTATATTCATGTGCCTATCATTTGTTTAGTCCTCCATTCATTACTTATTACACTTCAGAACTGTATGTCATTCTTTCACTACCTTATTCATTCTCTAATTAGTACAGTATTCATAGTATTGACTAAGCATCAAGTACTGGGTGTAGAGAAACGGAAACAATTCATCCTTTTTCTTTACAGAGCTTATGAAATGGGGCAGACAGACAAGTAAGCCAACAGAAACAGCGTAGGCTACGTGCTGTGATGGACACATACCAGACAGCAGAACTGCAGGCAGAGGGGGCGGTGCGGGGGAGTGCGAGCACATTACAGAGGAGAAGAAACAGGGGCTGAGCCCTGAAGGAGAGTCATATGTGTATAGCTACGGTGAAAATAGAAGAGAAGCGACTGTGTTCTACCACAGGGCCATCAGTGGTGGAGCAACCGTGGCTGGGTTTGGGGAAATGTGTGTGTTCAGCATGTTATTGGACGTGAGTCTGCAGAAGTAGACAGTGCTGCGCGATCAGAAAGAAGAAGGACCCAGACAGATCTGAGATGTACAAATACTAACCTACTAGCAGCACTCCAAGGGAAGGAAGGGAGTTTAGGGATGCCACAGAAAAGCTCAGGAAGACAGAGTTGCTCAGGCGTAACACAAAACACGGACTCGGAAACCTGCAGGCAGATGCAGAGGACTCTGCCAAGGCAGCCTGTACACGGGGAAGTGAGGGTGGTGTAGATTGTGTCAGACGCCAGGACTGAAGCATCTGTGAGAACTTTTAATGTCTGGTAAGTAAACCTCAAAGAATTTGGAAGGTCCTAATGGTGTAAGGGGCAGGAAAAGTCATGAATATACCAGAGGTCATCCAAACTAAGGAGGTACAGATTAGTAAGTAGGAGAGCTGGTAAAACAAGAGAGATTCACAGAGCGGCATTATCTAAGAAGCAGTTGTACCAGGCAGCAGGGATCAGTCATGGTGGCAAATATCCTTTGCATGGAAATACTACAAACTTTAGAAAAAGCCTGCTTAGGTAGAAAGTATTTCCTTCTCCCCAGTTAAGTAAATTACTTGCATTTGAAACACTGCACCAAGCTTCCTCATTTTTAATTGCTAGCTTACGGGTTAAGAATAATTGAAGAATAATTGTGTCAATATACAATTTCTCCAGTGCTTAACTCTTTAGGATACTTTGCAGCATACCTTTCTGCATTTGTAGCAAACGTAATATGCATATCTATTCATGGCATAGCCAGCCGGGTCATTATAAAACCTGACCCCAGGAGTTGTGATCGCTTCACTCTTATGTAGACCTTCGTATTCCAATCTCATTAAGGCTTTTCTTCTGACATCTTCATAGAGTTCTTTTATTGGATCAAGCAGGTCTTTTAATACTACATGATTAATTTTGTTCTGAAATACAAATAATATTTTTAAGAGAAGCATTTATGGAATATTTCAACAAACATTTTAATGTGTATTCAAGTGCCAACCATTCTAACAGGAGATCACTAGTTAGAAATGTGTTGTAATGCCAAAGAACTGTTCTTCTCTTAACTAGTTCAAGAAGTATTAAATGTCCACGGTTCACTTGTTAAGAGCAGATCTCAGGTCATGCAAGCAGCAGAGGGTCCTTTTCCTGTTACTCACTCACAGCCACGTCATATGACACAGCCTTCAGTAGGTCTGAATAGCGAGGCACCCACCACTAATACACGATGAGCTTAAATTAACATTTCTCCTGCCATATATCATGTTTAATTCAGTTTAGGGAGCTTTTACATGACAATTCGGTGACAATAACTGTGCCCCCTCAAAGGCCTAAATGGTAAGACAACAGTCTACCACTGAGGGCTATCTCTAATAAACCATAACTACTCTGGTTCTACTTGGATAAGGACAAAACTAATTGAGGCTGGGGAATGGAAAACAGGAACAGAGATCACTGGAAGACCCTGGCAGCTATCTGAGATGAAAGCAAAGAGGAAAAGAAATAATTCATAGGTAAATAACTTCAGGTTCCATACCTTGCAAATGGGGCATGATATGAATCCAAACGTTATCCTTGGACCAAGCCATCTGTTTTCCAAAACTCGCCGACAGCACTGTAAGTGGAACACATGACTGCAGTCGAGCTTAAAGAAAGAAACAAGAAGGACGTAAGCAAATGCAGTCATGACAGCACTCAAGTGATGGAAAGACTCCAATGCAGGACGGCTACGTGAAGCAGGCAAGAGAGACATCACGCACTTTAGTACCAAGAGAAACATCACGCACTTTAGTACCAAGGGATCTTCAGACTTTCAACACTTACTCATGGTACAGTACTGACTAGGATTTCAACTTACAATTTTTTCTAATCATGCATTAATGCCACTTATATAAAAACTACACATGTAATGGAGACTAGGTCAGGGTTAGTCAGCCACTATATAGATGAAAGAAATTACTGATTTAATGACTTACAGTTTTGTTGAGAATATTCATTATCTCAGAATCAATTATAAGAATTAAAAATAAACATAAATGTCAAAAGTTAAAACTCTTATTTAGAAAACAGACTGCTAGCTTCTATTATGTACGGAATTATATGTCGCTATGACATATTGTGTATCACAAAGATTAAGAAGAGCTTAGCTACTTGAAACTCTAGTCCTTTTCCCCTTCATATCAATTTATACATGTTCAGAAGCCACCGAGTGATAGGTGGACCTGCAGAACATACGGTAACAGAATTCCTTCTCCACGTATATGAATGAGCTTATGTTAACATGCTTATCTGTGCTCCTGTTAAAGCCTAGGCACATTTAGAAGCTGAGGCCACCTGGATGGCTGGAGCTGCAGAGAGCGCTTCGGTGAAGCAGATCATGCACATGTCGTCGGCGTCCTGCTTCAGGGTGCTAGCATTTTTATCGCAGCCGTGCAGACAGGGCAAACAGTGTTCTTCGTTTTTAACACCTCCACACGGATGCCCACAAGGATGCGTCTTACTACAGGCTATTTTAGCATATTCCTGTTGAAGACGGATTGCAATGGTTTACAATGATTGAAAAGGGCAAGTACTACTTTACAAGAAATTCCTACTAGAACAAAATAACAATGATCATTCTATGCTTTGGCTATAAACGAGGATTAACAGAATTTTCCTTTTAATATGATTAAAGGATTTGATTCCACATAAAAGAAAGGCACTGAAAACAAGTGAACTGTGACTTTAGCTGGTTTGGCATCACACATAGGCATGAAGCATAAAGTTCTGATGTAAACGTTTCTTAGTCACCAGCCTCTTTTGCCAAAACAGGGGTTAAAAAACCAAAACAAAGAAACCACACCTTACTTAATCTCTCACTCAAAATCTGAATTCTATTCAATCCAGAGCAGATTTATTCAGGATTCAAAAACTTTCAAACACTACAGGTTTACTTTAGGCAAATGAATGAGCAAAGGAACTCTGGTCAGATATATAACAAGTTTGTATATGTGTGTGTCTGCTGTCTGGCAAGTGTGTTGTGTGTGTGTTTGCCCATGGACGCCTGTGCTGGGAATCAAGCCTGGGTCCTCTGCAAGAGTAGCAAGTGCTCTTAGTCACTGAGTTGTGTGTTCTGTCCCATGTGGTCAGATACCTTAGCTGTTTCCAGAGCAAAATTAACTATGATGATGGTGATGAATAAGCATCACAAAAAGTCCCGTTTGGGCTGTGAGAGGGGACACTGCACGGAGGCAGAACCACACCCCTACAACGACTAGAGACTCTGTGAGACTACATGCTTTGCCTTCCTGGCCTAACCTCTAACGAGACACCTACCTGGCAGTCTGCATCAGAACAAACACTGCCCACAGCAGATAGCTCCGTTCCACTCCTGGACCCACAGAAGCGGCATGCTTCTGAACTACTTGTGGTGGGTTTGCCTAGGTTCAAGTAGAAGAAAAACCTTCCATGAAGGCATGCTTTTTATATTGCAATATAGCTAATTTTCAAATAGCAAACTAGATTTCTTTCAGTTACTAAAGGCTGTAAGCCACCTTAAATATAAAGTGAACAGTCACCAAAGGGGTAAGAAACTTAGGATCCATAAACTTTACAGGTTTATACCTTTTTAGCAGAAGAAACAGACTATATATCTAGTAAAGTCAGTAGGCTGAGCAGATCTGGCAAGTCCTTACTCATGCACACTAGATAAACATTCCAACTAAAAAATTAGAGTACACAGAATAAAGGGAAATGTTTTAGTATTTTTATATAACAAAATTATATGACAGTGAAAAATCTGACTAGATTAAAAAAACTGAAAAACAGAAAAAAAAAATCTGCCCCAGGCACTCTGCAACTCTGAAAATAATTTAGTATGTGGCAATATTTAAAGAAGGGTAAGATTTCCCTAAAGCAACAGCCTTGGTCACTTTCACGTACAGGTGCACACATTTTAGGACCAATCACTGATTCCAGAGATGACGGCAGAACACACTGAGGAAAGGAAAGGGCAGTTGCATTGTCAGCAAGGATGGTTCAATACTACATTAACTAACGTAGAGAACTGACAGATTGCAGGAGAAATTTTCATCTTGGTTGTAACATTAAGTTTGTAATATGTAGGGCTTTATGTTATAAAAAAGAAGAATGAAGCCAGGTGGTGGTATACGCCTTTAATTCCAGCACTCAGGAGGCAAAGGCAGGTGGATCCCTGTGAGTTTGAGGCCAGCTTAGCCTAGAGAGAGAGTTTCAGGGCAGTCAGGGTTGTTGCACAGAGAAACCCGGTCTCGTAAGACCAAAAACCAAACCAAAAAACAAAATCAAAAAAGTAGAATTAGAGTTTAAAGCATTGCTTAGTCCTCTATATTAGTTACTACAATTAGTACCCCAGGACTGTTCAGGAAGTCCTGAGACGCAGTAAATGTACAAAAGCCTCTAAGAAGTGCCACAAAATCAGAGGACTTTTTAGTTAAGATAGATATTAGTGACACAGACATGCTATCCACAGTGGCACATTCACATTTGTGCTCTTCACGAATGTGGGAGGCTCACTTATAAAGATGTAAGTAGGATAAGACAATGATTTCACAGAGGCTAATGGACCACCCAAAGTCACTGTGGTGGTTTGAATATGAATGGTTCCCATCGGCTCATGTATTTGAATGCTTCACCTGGGAGTACAACTGTTGAAAAGGATTAGGATTAGGAGGAGTGGCCTCCCTGGAGGAGGTGTGTCACTGGGGATGGGTTTAAAAAGTCCATGCCAGGCCCTGTCTGTCTCCGCCTGCATGCTTGAGGGTCAGGATATAAAGCTCTCAGCTGCTTCTCCAACACCATTTGTGCACATGATGACAACGAACTGATTTCTGAAACTGTAAGCAAACCCCCAACTACACGTTTTCTCTTGTAAGAGCTGCCTTGGTCATGGTGTCTCTTCAGAGCAATAGAACAGTGAGTAAGACAGTTACACGGCAGGTTAGTGACAAATGGGGTTTCTTGACTTTTAGTCTGATGCTCTTTCTAACATAGATGACTGTGTCGACCAAACACATGTGGTCAAATGCCATCATCAACCATCTATTTGCAATGAATAAACTAGTATCTAATTGATTATACAATGCAGACATAGTTCATCCTCCCTCTTTGAATTTATGACTCAACCTTTAACTCTTTTACCTGTGTGTTCTCGGAATTCCACCATTGCCTTCATTGTTTTAGAATCTGCTAATGCCATCAACCAAAACAGTTTTGTTCTACCACAGCCTTCATGAAGGTCAACCTTTATAGCTTCTTCTTCTTCTTTGAAGACCTGTTGTTCCATTACAGAAAAGGCACAAATGTGTTTGTGTTTCTGGGTAGAAGCATAGACTTAATCACTCAACAACAATGCTTTCTTTATAAAGCACTATAAGTTCCAGTCATCTCCAGTGTTCTTGTCAGTCTTTACGACAGCTCCATGTTTATAATTAGGGTGCTAATTAAACCTTGGAAAAAGCATTGGCTCACTTTATAGTTAATAAGCACGACAACAGAAATCTCACGTAAGGCCACCGATTCCACCACCCGTCCCATGCTACTCCAGAGTTCTTTCCATGCCCCAGATGCTTATCTGGGTATGAAGACAGAAATCCCACCTGTCTTTGATGAGTTTTGGTTCGCCGGTGCAGATGAAGGAATCTGTCACAGTCAGTACATAAATTTCCACAGATGTTGCATAAGATGATAGCTGCAGTTTCACCATCGTCATGGTTATCACACATGGGCTGGAATAAGGTATTTTCACATGCTATGTTAGACTTACAGCAAACCTCGGACAAATATTTATGACACTGACAGGCTTTATTCTAAAATCCGTAAAACGCTTTGAATTTGAATGTTAAACAGAACTGTTTCAGGTATATACTGAGCAATCAAAATCTCTCAAAACTATCCAGTAAGATTACTGTACACATGGTGTCAACGTTTAAAAAGATGTAACATTTTATTGACTTAATGTTCTTCTAGCTATACATCCAAATCTTCTGAATGATATATGAGTACAATTTATTATAAAAGCCCAGACATTCATCAGAAAATGTTGAGAGGGCTGACATCATGTCCCCTCTGAAATGACTGAAGCAATTCATAAGCCTCCTCTAGTTACATCTTGAAAAAGGGCATGTCACACTGTTCCTCTTACTGTTTTTCTTCCTTTTAGTCCCAAGAATAATCACATTTTGGCACAAATCAATCAGGCTACAAATTTTGTTGATATGAACATGAATCAGAAAAGGAGAAAGTTTTTTATATAGTCAAATACAAGGCCCTAGATTTTGTAAAGCGTGCAGTACTTTTATGAGATGAAATTGGGCAAACAGGACATGCTTTCAATAGTTTGATCTGTTGCTTTCCCCTACACACTATTACTAACTATAAAGAAAAAAAGTACTTACAAAACAATCCTGACCTTACCATTTGTTTCTGCTGCCCATCTTTTCCCATCCACCTTCCTGATGACAGGCGGTCCACGTGGTCCTGGTCAAGAACGCACAGTGATGCTAGAGCAAGCCAGAGCTGTGGAGGAGAAAGCTGTTCTACTACTGATATCTATGGGAACGCAGTTATGAGATACTCACTGACTCACACATTAACAGTCAAATCTGTGCTGGCTTAGTTTGGGAAGGCAGAGATGCTTAGGAGCAACTGCATTATCCTGATGTCGCTGCGTATGTGTGCCATGGGCCCAATGGATGCCAACTGAGCAAATGATTCTTTCTTTCTATGCAGAACCACTGTTTCCTACCTGACGTGAAAGTATCCTTCATCAATGATGTACAAAAATCAATCATTTACAGGAATATTTACTGTACAGGTCTACTGTGTATGTTTCCAGCTAGTACATCTCTATCCAAAGTTCTACATTCCCAATGAGATGATAAGTACCTATTTAGTTTTGCAGTTCCACAAGTAGTTTGGTACTTCTACATAATAACAGTTCTTCAGAAGTTTCTGTTGTCTCATAGGGCCTACTTTGGACACTTTGTCATAAATTAATGTCTATTAAATTTCAGAAAATTCTCCTAAAAAATCTGAGGAGATGGGACAGGTGGCCATGCAAATGTGAGAACTCATGTTCAAGTTGTTCGAACTCACATAAAGCTGGAAACGAGAGAGTGAGTGCATGTCTGAAACCCCAGTGCTCCTGTGCAAGGCGAGAAGCAGAGACTAGGGAGCAACAGGAGGCTTGCTGGTGAGCTAGCCTGCTGTTTGCAGCAGTAAACAATAACGTGATTCTGTCTCAAACAGGATGGATGGTGAGGATCAACACCTGAGACTATCCATAGGCACACAAGCAGCTCTACTCACACAGATGAACACCACACACAAACATACATGCACCTATCATCACGCACATATACACACATGCTATGAAACATTTCAACATTTCTGAGGCATATGAGAGTGAACTTCAGCTTCACACAGAACGATATATTCAATCATTAATGAAAATTTGAAAAAAAAAAGAGAAAGGAAATCTATACAAGTGAAAAAGAAACACAGAATGAAAGAATTCATGTGTGGTAGAAAGGGGTAACTAAAAATTGTTTAAGTGTCACACTCATTAGCATGGTAACATAAATTGGTTTTCTCTGTCCTAACAAAATATAACTTATCTTTTTTATAGACTTTGTAGAATGTAAAAAATTTCTATTAGTGTGACTGTTCCTAATGATGTAGCACTACCCTCTAATATCTTAAATCACCTTTGGATTATATAGCTCATAAAACCTGGTATGTTAGACATTAGATGTTTCATTTAAAGAATGTACTTCTATTTTGCAGAAGTTCAGCCCCACCGAAAACTGGTACGTGTTGTTTTTAAAAAACGTTTAGACTTATTTATTTTGTGTTCCTGAGTGCTTTGTCCACAGTGTATGCATATACATGTACAAGACTGGTATGTCAAGGGTGGGTGTAAGACCTGGAACTGGAGTCACAGCAGTTGTGAGCCACCGTGTAGACAGATGATGGGACCCAAACCCGATCCTCGCAAGAGTAACAATGCTCTGATTGCTGAGGCACTCTCCAAGCCCACACACTGTTTTGTAAAAACAAAGCAAACAAACCTAGTAGTTGAGTTAGGAGTTTTCACTGGAAAGAACTGTGTAGGAGGGAGTCTTATCTTGTAAGGATCATCAGTCTGTCATAGAATAGTGCTACGACTCAATTTACTGAGGTAAGCTACGGTAAATAGGTCATTAGAAAGATGATATACAAGGCATAACTTAGACTTTCCTAACCAGCACAGCCTCAGCTTCTTAAATTAATAACAAAAGTTGGTAAAAGCGCCATAGTGAGCAGTGATCACTCTTACACTCAATTCATAACAGTCATTTTTGACGAATACCTACTTAACTATACATGTGGACTGTGGTGATAAATTATTTATGATTTATTAAAACTTGCCTGAGGATTCAGAAAGCAAAGCCAGTCTCGAGCTATGGAACTAGGCAGTGGTGGTATACACCTTTAATCCAGACAGATGGATCTCTAAATCCAAGACCACCCTGGCTATCAGAGAGTGAATCAGAGCTCACACCTTTAATCCCAGGATTTGAGAGGTACAAAAAAGGCAGAGTCATTCAGTCATAGTCTCCAGCCATGCTGAGGAGAGTATAGCAGTCTGAGGGAATCTGGGGAGCAGTGAAGTAGGGAGCAGTTCGAGGATCACCCCTTTAGCCTGAGCTGAATTATAGGTAAGATCTTACTGGCTGAGCTGCTTTGTTTCTCTGATCTTCAGCTTGAAGCATGAACTCCAATATCAGTCTCTGGTCATTTATTTGTCATGCTACAGTGGACAAAGTTGACTTATTGATCACACATAATGATACAGACCAAATTTAAAAGGAAAAAAACTTACTCTAGTTGTTGCAATACACCTCACCGGAGACCTGAATTCTTCTTCCATCTTGGTCAAAGCAATGATGGTCTCCGCAATAGCATTTTTTGTCACCCGGGACCAAGCTTCTGACAGGTGACCCTATTGAGCAGAACAGAGTATCTTACTAAGTACCCAGAATTGTGTGTCACAGCAAACTTTTTTCTCTAAATTAACACCTCTCACCAAGGAGAATGCTTACTTATAGCAAGACCATGAACTTCTAGAGAGGGGTACAAACCATAAAGCCTTTACAGTCTAATGAAAATTCAATTGCTAATATCTATTTTGATGATTTTAAAGTGAATAAAAAATTAAAGCCTCAACATTGTATTTCTGTAGTGCTCAACACATTTTATTTCATATTTGGATCAAAATAAAAGGTAGAAATAAGGTTTCTATGCTTGGAAGTTTTGGCTATAAAATCTTGATATTTAATGTGAAACATATATCTAATAATTACTAAGAATCTAAGAATATACATAGGTTCAACCCACAAGTGCTTTTATTTGTACTGTATTTCTTTGTCTTCAGTGCTGGGAGTCCAACCCAGAACCTGTGCACAGCTCTGAAGAGATTTTGGTGTTAAAAAAAGATTTATTCATTTTCTGTGGCAGACAAGATGTCTTGGTGGCTTTGACTTGACTGCTGCTCTTCCAGAGGACCTGAGTTCGAGTCCTAGTAACCCATGTCAGGCAGTTCACAGCCTGTAACTCTAGCTCCAGGACATCTCACACCTTTCTTCTCTCCAGGGATTTGTACTTCTGTGTACAATCCACCCACCACCATAATTTGAAACCTTTTTTAAATTCATCCACTTTGGTTTTATATGTATGAATGTTTGCTTGCATGGATGCATGTGTACTGTGTAGTAGGAGATGCTGATGCCCCTGCAGCTGGAATGACAGACAGTTGAACCCAGGTCCTCTGCAAGAGCAGCTAGTGCACTCAAGGGCTGAGCCATCTCTCTAGCCCCAGCTACACACATTTTTAATGAGCACCAGTACTTTATTACAGAGTTCAGGTGTTCAAAACATTATTAAGCATTTCCATTTGACACACTTCCTGGAGAATGCCTATTTGCCATGGAGTCTAAGAAATTGTTCTCAGTTAAGAAGTATAATAGCTTGGCTTTTCTCCAGAATCTCATTCCACTTCTCACACCCTTGCAGTCAATCTGCTAATGGGCAACTGGTGTATTACCCCCCCCCCCTTTTTTTTTACACGAGACAGGGTTTCTCTGTATTGTTTTGGAGGCTGTCGGTCCAGCCCAGCCTCGAACTCACAGAGATCCGCCTGCCTCTGCCTCCCGAGTGCTGGGATTAAAGGCGTGTGCCACCACCGCCCAGCTTGGTGTATTCCCCTTTATGATGCCTGTTGTTCCCTCCAACTCCTCCCCTGGCTGTCTCCTAATGACAGTGACATTGAGCCAAGTGACCTTATGGAGCCAGCACTCAGGGGAGTGCATCCCCAAAGCCAACACCTTAGGATAGTGGTACAGGACATAAGTAAAGACATATAAAAGCTTAAAAACTCAGAACTGAAGAGGATGAGAAACTTCTACTTCTGGGAATATTTTTCATTCATTTTTGGATTTTCAACATAGGTTCTTTCTTAAGTTAGGAAGAATGTATTTTATTTTATGTTTTAAGGTTCTGGAAAACGTACCAAAATTTTTAGGTAAATTAACTGGGAGTTTGAAATGAACACAAATTTACCATCCACTGACAAGACCAATGGTACAGTGGACAACATTCTAAATGCAGTCTTTAAATAAAGCTTTAAACACTAGTAATGCACTTTATTAATGTAGCAGAGTAAGCTGTTTTCTGTGTCAATCAGACTCTTGCTTAGCTCACAGATGTCGTCAGGAGCAGGGGACTTACTGCAGCCATATCCTTAATGAGCTTAATGATGATCTCTGAGATCTGCGTAGGAGTTGATCCTTTCATCCACCAATGACTTTCACCTCGGCGGAGGTAACTACAAAGAAAACAAAGTAACTTTAGCACAGAGCACAGAGCACTGAATTAATTAGGATGTTTCCATTTTGTTGCACTTTCTTTCGTTTATTTTGGGTGTATATGTTATGTGTAAGGCCGGAGAACAACTTCCAGAGCGAGAACAACTTCCAGAGCGGGCTCTGTCTTCCCAGTGTGTGGGTGATGAGGCACAGGTCTGGGCCGTGAGGCTTGGCTGCAGGTGTTCTTCCTCATGGACCAGCTCACCAGCCCCAATTTTTTTTTTTGAGATGGAGTCTTGTTACGAAGCCTACACTGGCCTTTAAGTTACTAATCTCCTTCCTCATTTACACGAGTGCTGGCATTACAGGTGCCTTATCCAATTAAGACATTTTATTTTGTTATTCAGCTGTTCATTATTTTCATGTGTATGTGTGTGTGTGCTAGCATACATGTACATGCACCTAGGTATGCAGAAGCCCACAAAAGTCAGAAGAGGGTATGTAATCCCTCGGAACTGGAGTTATAACCCTGTAAGTGTGCTGGGAAGAGAACCCTGGTCCTTTGCAAAAGCAAAAAACTCACTCTTAACCACTAAGTCGTCTCTCCAGCCTGCAAATGTTTTTTTTTTTTTTTAAGTTAAAACATTACCCGAGGACTCTTTCTTAAATCTTAAGAGAACAATCTGCTAGGTCAGCACTATTCCAGTTACAGTCCATGGCCATCAACTGGTGCCGGTACACATGGAATAAGGAGGAATGCCAGCCTGGGTAGAAGGACGCTCAGGAGGCAAACCACTGCTTCTTAGCTGACTTTCTGTTCCTGTTAGCCACACTCTCTACGTGGAGGAAGTGACACTGATAACATTCTGGATTTAGCTGCTTATTGTCATGTGTTGGCTATATAATGTACACTAGTCTATCATTTAATTTTGTACTATTGCATACAAGTACAGAACATCCTGGCACATGTACCTCTATGCATGTATATAAAGTCTAGGAGAGATAGTGGAAAAGGTCAAGCATATTTAAAATATAACGAGGCATTAGTAACCGACACCCAAATTCATATTAGATGAAAATGCCTGGGGCTGGAGACGGAGCTCAGTGGCTAGAAGCATTTGTTGTGCTTGTGGAGGATCCAGGTTCAGATTCCAGAAGCATCATGGAATGTACAATTGTAATTCCAGTTCCAAGACAGCCAGTGCTCTCTTCTGGCCTTAATGGGCACTGCATGCATGCGGTGCATACACATACATGCAACAACAACACTCATACACCAAATAAAAATAAAATCTTAAGAAAGTCCATTCTTAAGCACTATACATACTTTGCTATTTAAAAAAATTCACATATGTGCTTCTTCGCAGGTGTGGGTGCGTAGGTGCATATGTAGGCCCAAGACTAGCACTTGGTGTCTTCCTTAATTATTTCTCACCTTATATCAAGGCAAGGTTTCTTACTGATCTGGAGCTCATCATTTTGCTTGTTAGTCTGGTTGGTCAGCCTGTGTAGGGAAATTTTTGTCTCTGTCTCCTTCCTCTGGAAACAGGCAGGGCCGCACCCCACAGGCTTTCATGATGATGAGTTCTGTGAGTTGGGCTTTGGTAGTCTCATGCTTGCTGCAAGCACCTTCCCGGCTGAGCACCCAGCCTGCAGCTGTTTACTCTCTAGTTCCCGGGATCTTTTCCTTTGGTCACTGACATTTGTAACTTTTTCTGTCAACTGTTACTGATATTTACTTATTGGTTCTTTGCCCTTTCATAAACATTATTTTAACATGTGTTATATCCGTTTATGCTGTGGAATATTTGTTTAATGGTGCAAAGATTCTTCTATGTTCCATTTAATGCTATGGAACTGTGTAACTTTGCCTGGCTAAAACACCTGATTGGTCTAATAAAGAGCTGAATGGCCAATAGCTAGGCAGGAGAGGGATAGGTGGGGAATGTCAGGCAGGCAGAATAAACAGAAGAGAGAAAGAGGGAGGAGAAGGAAAAGGAGAAGGAGAAGAGGACACCAGGGGTCAGCCACTCAGGCACAGGTCAGCTATGGAATAAGAAGGAAAGAAAGGTATATAGAATAGAGAAAAGAAAAAGCCCAGAGGCAAAAGGTAGATGGAATAATTTAAGAAAAGTTGGCAAGAAAGGAGAGAGAGAGAGAGAGAGAGAGAGAGAGAGAGAACCCAACTACAATGGCAGATAGTTTATTATGTAACTTTAGAGATTATCCAAGTAGTGCTTCAATTTAAACACATAGTATACATGCCAACTATAATCACTGTTATGTATCAAATCTCTGAAGCTTTTTCTACATAGCTTTTGGTATTTACACTTTGTAAATTTGAGATTAGAAAACGTTCTTCTGTAATTCGCCTCTGCAGAATTTGTAAAGGAATATATATATAAACCATTAAATGATATGAAGTTTATCCTTCTCATTATTTATTTATATTGTGGGAAATATTAACATAATTTGTTTTTGTTTCTGTACACTAAGGGAGTCACATTTAATCTTTTTCAACACAGATACATAAATACTGAATGTTACATATAAAGTTTATTTCTATATTCTATATGATATTCCTTTTAATTTAAACACATATTATTAGTGTGTGCATATATACACACACACAATAAGTGAGAACAAGCATACCCCATTGTGTGTAGAAGGAAGAGGACAACTTTGTTGAATCTGCTCTTTCCCTCCACCTTTATGCGGATCAAACTCAGGTTACCAACCACGATTGCATGGCAGGTGCCCTTACCTGCTGACTTATCTTGCTGGCCCTGGCATTCTTTTTATACATACATAGCCAACTGCTTATAGATGTTATTTGGTAAGTGAGCCAACAGGTGAATGTTGGGGGGGATAATCTTTTTATATACTGTGAAAATGTGTCTGGATCAAGGCACCTTCTGATTGATTTAAGTAAAGGGCCCAATGGCCCATATCTAGGCAGGAGTGGATAGGTGGGACTTCCTGGGAGAGACAAGAACTCCAGGGGAGAATCTGAGAGGAGGGATTTGCCAGCCTATGGAGAAAGTGGGATGCAGGGTATTGAGCAGAGGTAATGAGCCATGTGGCAGAACTTAGATTAATAGGTCAATTTGAAGTTTTAAGAGCTAGTTTTGAACAAGACTAAGCTAAAACTAAGCTTTCATAATTAGTAAGAAGTCTCATTGTCATTATTTGGGAGCTTGGAAGTTAAAAAAAGTCTGCCTACAGGTGGAATTTGTGATATTTAACTTTTTGATATGAAAATGAGGGAAGGCCAAACCTGGAGTTGAAAATCATTGGCAGGGTGACTGTTGTAACTCCTTTGCCTACAGTGGTACCAGCTGTCCCAGTGATGGTGGTCCCTTTGGCTTTGAGCTGGACAGTGAGTGCTTTGGCAATGCAGCCCAGAAACATGTCCAAGATTCCCAGCTTGTTCCAGTCTCCTTTCTCAGTTGAGTGAATGATGTCACTAATATCTGCCGGGGGAAGAGATTTCACTCCTATGATGCTGGCCAGACGACTGGGGGTCACTTCAGGCAATACTCGTCTTAGCAGGGAGGTCACCTGATCAGGAGATTGAAAGAATACATTTAAGCCCTGTGTTTACAGTTACTTAAAATGTGCCTAGTTTCTATTGTGTAGTTTCAAAATCCATGGGAAGAACAGAAGCATAATTTAATACTTTTAATAAGTTGTAATTTTCATTTTGAGAAGGAAAGAATATGATCTAAACATTTTTGAATTTCCAGAGTGGCAATGACCCACCTAAGACAGCATGAAAACAAACGAAAGAACAAACAAACAAACAAACAAAAAAAACAAAAAGCAAAAACTCCTTTACCTTTGTTCTGGATTAAATGACATAATATGTCTCTCAGTAAGAAATCAATCAATATCCAAAAAACTATCACACTACAGCAGTAAATGGGAACAGAATTTGCCGGGTGTGGTAGCACAGACCTTTAATCCCAGCACTCAGGGATTTCTGTGAGTTTGAGGCCAGCCTGTCTACAAAGTGAGTTCCAGGACAGGCAGGGATACACAGAGAAACTTCATCTCAAAACAAAACCAAAACCAAACCATGGAGCTGAAGTTTGATCCTCAACAAAACATAAAGTAACAAAAGTTCCCGTCTAAGGTCTAAGATTTTAGTTTCCAAGCAGCGGAGAAGGAGAAACACAAAAGGAGTGGCATGATGGGTCACCTGTCTCTGCACCCTAGGAGAAGCTGTGTGCAGCAGCGAAAAGAGGTCTTGAAGCAGAGTCAGCTGCTGAGCCAGGTACTGCCTTCCAACATTGGAGCCGCTCAGTGCTAGGACCATGGAGAGCAGCTCGAAGCAGTAGGCATCTGAGGAAGCGTCCTCATCACTAGGCTGAGAGTTGGCATTTTCCTTGCTGGATATGGCATGCTCCCACTCTTCACGAACTCTTGTGGCTTCCATGCGAATGGCTTGTACAATGTGAGCGCATACCTATGTGAAGGCAACGTAAGATCTTATTTGTAAGTCGTATTTATTACTATTATCAGAATAAGCAAGACAGGCAAAGAACGCAAGTTGATGCCTGATTTAATACTCCATTATATTATCCTTTTAACTCAACTTAAAAGCAATGGAAGAAAACTAGGGGAAACTATGGCAAAGAGTTCAATAATTAATTCGCCTGATATAAATAGCCAAATTAACGAGGCAGAAAAATAAAATATAAATTTTTGCTGTTTTCTTTCTTTTAAAGAAGATTTAATGCTATGTAAAAATAATAGACAGGGTAAAAAAATGAGTATTTCCATCTCTCTATTTCTTGATGAGTCTCCCTATGCTACCTACTCTAGGATTAAATTCAAGCCCTACTTCCTCTGTCATCCAAGCAGCTGAGATCGCAGATGTGCCTTTATGCCTGGCTTCTGTCTTCTGAAGTGCATATTCTATTTGCCTAGCATTCCTGTATGACGCTACGTACTCCACTACCTACTTATGCTTAAATAACGTTAACAATGGTATAGTTAGCATTATTAACTGCTCAGAACAGGAAAAAGGAATGTAATAAATGCAAATGTCATCTGTTATGGCCGGCTATTTACAACTAGAGCTGTAGGTTGGTATAGAAGCTCCCATCTACAGTCCCAGCATTTGGGATGCTGAGAGACGAGGACTGTGAGTTTAAGGCAGGTCTGGCTACTATCAGTCCATCCGTCCGTCTGTCTGCCAGGCTATCCATCAGTCTACCCACTCAAGGTAGCTACTGAAAACAGAGGACCAACAGAGTGATGCAACAAAGAATAGTGAAATAAGAAAGTTACTGTTTGTAACAAGTTTTTCCTTTGTTTTTGTTTCATTTTGAGACAATGTTTCACTACATATAGTAGGCTAGCCTTAAATTCTGGAACTTCCTTCCTTCCTCCACCGAAGTCTAAGTGCTGGGATCACAGGCAATGATACCATGACTGACACTTCAAAGGGATGCAGGTATCGCAATATAGTTATTCCTTTCTAGAAAAAGGCAGACACACATTCTACAGGACTTATGAAGAGGGAGCATTAAACAGCCTTAATGCATTCAGAGGACATTTTATAGACTAAAATCCCCAGACAACCCAACAGACGAGGACAATCGAACAGCGACTAACAAACCTGCTTTTGTAAGTTAGTCAGTTTACTCCTGCTGAATATGATTCCAACCATATGTTCTTTCAGGTCAGCATCGGATGTTGCCTTCACATAGAAAAGCAAAAACAAAAAAGTAGACTCTTCAGAGAAAATTTGTGTATTTGACATTTTAGAGTGCCCCAAGGAATAATTAGGCACATACTTTGAGGTGCATTTATTTTATGCAAGTATCTTGAGATATATTTATTTCAACTTGAAATGTAGAACACTAAGACAAAGGACAAGGCTTAAGGAAATGATTTTGACAAAGTGAACATAAAATGAACAAAATTTGAGAAAGAAAAGGTTACAGAAAATCAGAAAAAGAGGCAGAAATCAAAATCAAAGCAAATGTATGGAAAGAAATGGTAAAGGAGATGATTTATATAAATAAAAAGGTAACAATAAAACTGAAAGCTATTTCCTCAAAAACACTGAACACAATCTACACTACCCAAGAGAGAATGAAGACAAATAGCCAACACAAGGAATAAAGAAGTTTCAGGGCAGGTTTTACAAATATTAAATAGATAGTAACACTGTACTGTACATGATTTCTGCTAACAAGTCAGTAACCAAAACAAACTAGTTAACGGAACTACTAAAGCTTACTCAAGAAGAAATGGTTAACTAAAATAGTCCTGTACTTAGTATAAAAAACAATTTCTAGGAGGCAGTCTTTTACCATATGAGCTAGAGTATACACAACTCTGTTCCAGATAGTTATTTTCATCTGTTGTATTTACGTCTTTCCTCATTTACTTTTTAAAGAAAATATTAAAACAAAACACATATGCCATTAATCTCTCTGAATAGAGCAGTTTCAATTGTTCTGGTATATTCACAGATATGTATACCTATCTCCTGAGTTAACTGGAGATCATTTTTACCACTCCCAAAGAGATACTATACTACGTATCTATCATCCTCTAGGGTTTTTATTATTGCTACTATTATTTTATTAGAAAAGACAAGCCACCTACACATCATTAATTAGAGATCATAGATAGCATTGTTTATTTTACTGAATAGCAGTTAAGAAAATAACAAAGAGAAAAGACTATCCATTTTGATGTTATTGGTTAGCAAACTAGGAGGACAAGAAAACACCCTCAATCTGATTAACAGCATCTACAAAAAACAAAACAAAACAAAAAACAAAAAACTTCTGATAAGATCACACTTTCTTTTAAGATCCAGAACAAGGCAAGCTATCTGCTCAGTGGCTCTGCTCAACTTGACACTGCTCTGCTGAGTTTTTACATAATACTGTAACCCAAGACGTTGAGGCTTTCCTCTTAGGTGCAATGTTTCAGTAATGCAACTCTTTTAGAAGAAGGCCATAAAGCATTAAAATGCGTAGTTATTTCAGTGAAAATTTACTGCACACATGTGTAACAATACCCAAGGGTCAAATACAAATTACATATGTATGTGGCCTTTAAGCTAAGATTTAGCAGAAGAGGTAAGATGTATGTGTAGAGAAGCAACATGAAAGAAACCAAGACACGGGGCATGGTTACATTTTTATGAACTTCAGAAGAGGGAAAACTGTTTTCTGTTTGAGGATGTTGTAAAGACGTTTCCTCCTATTTTTGAGCTAGACCATGCAGGGAAAATACAATGGAGGAGGGAGAAGATAAGCAATGGGCAGAGTTTAGTGATTTTAAAGACACCAACAGCAACCAGCAAGCACCAATACAAAGCAGCTTCTATAGGTGGTAAAATCCAGCTAGCTCAGATATGAGAAGGCAAACTGCTTTCAGAAAATTCCCACACTTTCCATCTAATACAAGTTTAAAAAAAAGATACATATATACTGTTGCCAAATACTCATTAAAATGTAAAGTAACTCAAGAGTTAGTTGTCTTACCAAAAGTAAGAAAATGAAAATGAGAAATAAAATTTTAGGTTACAAATGAATACATTGTATACTTTTTCCTCTCCCTCAGGTGATGACAAGAGTGCTTTTTCCTCTTGTTCTGGTGTAGGTTCAGCATCTCCAGAGATGAGCTTTCCAAATACCTGACAAAGAAAGTAGCCATGTGAGAAAGAGCTAATGACAGCCATCACCTCTGAGAAAGCTGTATGGTGATCTAATTCTGAAGAGTCTTAACTAACTCATTATCTTAACACAGGGTGTGACTTTGTAGCCCAGGTTGTTCTAGAACTCATAATGTAATCCAGGCTGTCCTTAGGTTTGTGGCAATCCTTTTGTCTCAGCCTCTTGAGCACTAGGACTATAGGTGTCAGCCATGACACTCAGCCTGGACTCTGAAGGGCTGTTCTAATACAGGGTTCTTTTACATAGCACTCTCCACTTTTCTGAATCTACAAATGCAAAATTAGATACTGGTAAGCTTAAGAGAAGTGAAAACGGGCTACATTTGAAGCCAGAAAATTCTAATAGAATGATTTGCTATTCTCTCAAAATATATGTCAATTTATGCTATAAGGGTACTCACTTGAGATGTAATGAGTCTGAATACTCGGAGAGTCTCAGCTTCACAGTTCCTTTGCTGAGCTACACTGGCTGAAATCTGGCCTGCGATTTTTGTGCTTTCACCATCTTTCCAACCCAGGACTTTTACTTGTCGAACTCTTAGTGTATTTTCTGGGCCCTTTAATTCAATTTTGATGATGTGATTGTCTCCTCCTGGGAGTTCACTTGTTACCCAGCCAATATGCCTGGAATCCAAATCGACCTGGTTGAGCAGAAAAAGGACAGGAACCTGATACAGCAGAATCACTTTTATCACTGCCCTGGGCTTAGCATCAGTAACAGCAAGCTCAAATAACAAACAACTGCACAGACAGTAAAGGTTATCAGGTTATTCCCATTATCTTATTTAAGTTTTGTGAGGACAAGTATATTATTTACACGAGACAGAATAAAGGAGAAAATGAGGTTAACAGAGGTTGAGAGAGTCTCAGGTGATGGAGCTGAGAATTAACGTAGGTCTGACTATCATATGGTTTCCCTGTACAAATATGTGAGCAAAACTATTACAAAGACTTTCCATGACTCACCTGCATTGACTCTCAACAGAACAGTGTGAGCAGTGAGGTTCTGATTTATTTACCCTGCACTAAGCACCACTAAAAAATAGGTATTTTCATTGTGCTGATACTTCAGATGTGTGCAGCAGGCCTTTATCAATGACTGAATGTCAGTACAGAGAAAAATGGGTTTTAACACTTCTCCTCCAATGAAATTAAAATTACTCTCACTGTATTTGATAACTAAGAAGGGATCTGGAGACCTCTAGATGATTTATTTAGGCATATGTTATTAAATTCATAATGTCAACACTTCTAAATAGAGAAATTAATGGGGTGTGAAAAAATGCCAACTTTTTGGATAATTTTCAGATTCTTTAGTATTTGAATATTTCTCACATTAAATCTCAATATGATTTGAGAGAAGAAAAAAATTAAAGAAACTCATAAATTTTCATGTTATAAACTAACCCTAGAAGAAGAGCTCTGGCAGGGTTTTGGTTATGCACATCTGTACAAATCTGCAAATCTGCTTTCTGTGTTCCCCATTTTTGAAGCACACGGATGGAAGGTCACTTAGCTAGCAGAGACTTGTGTCTGTACATAATCTCAGACCTGTGCCCAGATATGACTTCACTTGTTTCTAGAATTGTTTTGTAAATGGACTTGCAAACTGGATATAGCTGCTAAGTTATAATGCATAGTTTTGTTCTTTCAATTTTTGTTTAGGTTAACAACCAATTTTAATTTAAGATGTAGGTACACGAAGTTGGGGACTATGAATCAGATCTGTGATGAATTTAAAGGCATTCAAATCTTTGTAAAGCAATGAGAGAATGGAGACTGTAGACCCAATGTAATATTGTAGGCTCATGACTGAGGACACTTAAGGGAAATAGTTGGGATGTAGTTCTTGGTTCATATACTAGTTGTTAATTTATTATTTTATAAATAAATGATTTATGTTCTCTTGGGAGTATGCCAATACTGAAACTCAACAGTAAAAGCTGAGGTTAAAGAAAAAAAAAGACAAAATTTCAATTACCTGTTTTATTCTGCACAAATCTTCTACTGCTTTACCAGTTAAGAAGGTCATCGAGGTAACTTTATTCTATAACAGACAATTCACAAGAGTTATACTATGTTCCCGCTCAGAACATCTATAACAAAACCACATTATTGCTTCTGTTTGCATTATCAGACTAATTGACCCCATACCATCTATCAAATTAACCAGTGCCTACAATTCCAGTTATCCCTTTCTCACAAACTCTTAGATTTTAGCCTTTATGTGCTTCCTCAGTTTCTCCTTTGCCTCTTTAACCAAGTTCTAATCATTCAATTCTGTATCTTCACATAGTATTTTAACAGTTCTGCTCTCTATGTGCCTCATTTTTGAAGCACATGGAAGGAAGGTCACTTAGCTAGCAGGGACTTGTGGGTGTCATGACTACTTCATGGCTTTAGAAAAGGACATCTTAGTAAGGTATATTCTATTCCTTTAAAATACACATCAAATGAGAGACGACAACGTTCACACAGGAAATAAATATTCAACAGTCCAAGCACTGTGTCTTAGTTCTGGAAGCCAGTCACCCTGGCACTAGAGTTGAGTAGTCTTATGAAAAGTACATCAAAAAAAAAGTCTAACATTAATTCCTCTTGAGTTACTTACTATGAATTATATATGTCAGTGCAACTCAAAACAACAAAGGCTATGGATAAGGCTCACTGGTGGGTAGTTTGGGAAACAAAGCAATATATTTTGTCAAGGAGCATATTTATAATACAGCTATCTCTTTTTTTTTTAATTTTATTTTCCAGTTTAAATTTAGATAAGAATCAAGGTTGCTTCACAAGTCAGTTCCAGGTCCCTCTCCCATTCCCTCCCTTCCTCCCGTGCCTTCCCTCCCCCCCCGTTATCCCCTCATTTCTCCAGGGAGGGTGAGGCCCTCCATGGGGGTGTCCATAGTGTGTCATTTCATATAGGGCAGGGCCTAGACCCTTTCCCAAGAGTTCAGGGTGAGAGTGCACCTCACATTGTTCTATTGGAGTCCAAAGTCCGTGTGTATACTTGGGATGGGTACTGATCTGCTGCCCAAGGCTCAATAGATTCCCTAGGCCTCTTCACTGACACCCAGATTCAGGGGGTCTTGATCAGTCCCATGCTGGCTTCCCAGGCTAATGCCTGGGATTAATACAGCTATCTCTTAAAGGGAAAGCAGACATTACCTGACATACTATACTTTTGTTCTGTTTTTTTCCACAATGAAGATGAATATTGTTATATTTATCTCTACCTAATAAATACAGAAATTCAATTTGGTTGCAATAATCATTGTGAGGAGAAGTATGTCCTGGTATAAAATGTACTGAGTCAAAGATAAATGTGTACTGAGTAATAAAAGATAGCCAGAAATGTTTTGACTTTTTCATGTAAGGTAAGTTATTTGTACCCATTGGAAATTCCCATTTCTAAAGAGGAAACAAGCTTGTGCCATGTTAGCTTAAGCCCCTTTGTGTATTTGGCACCAGGGCAATATGGACTAAGGCGTTAGCCTTGATGTGGATGGCAGATCACTGTACTTGGCTCACAGAGGGACAGACATGGCTGGCTTTACATCCAGCTTAGTTGAGATAAAACCCCACTATTTTCATTTTTACAAGAAAATAAACATGGCGCAGATCCGCAATGGATCATGGGAATCCACTAAAACCATCTACTTTGAAGCAAAAATTCAAATAAGTATTCTTCCCCAAGACCAAAGACAGAAAAGCAGTCTGGTAGCTGATGCTATTTTCTGGCTCAAGTAAACACAATTCTTTTCTTTCTTTCTGAATGCTTTCATTCAGTTGAAATGCTCTACTAGAGAGATTAGGCTAGGAAGACTAAAAATCATGAATATTTAAATTAGTTCTGGGACTATTTCACCTCTAACGTTAGGACTGAGGGTGTGAAGTAGAAGCCTGTAATTAATGATACTGTGGGCCTAAGCATGTTAAGTACCACTAGGTACTCCAAATAAGCAAACAGACAAACAGATAGAACAAAATAACCAAAAACCCAGTGGAGAGAAGAGAGTAACTTTTATACAGGTGTTATCATCTAAAGAGGATTTCTCTGCTGAGTCTTAGGATCTTGGGAACACATTTTAAAGGAAATTCCAGGCCGAGGGAATTGCTTAAATAAGGGCTAAAAGTAGAAAATCCAAGGATACATCTTAATCTTGTTCAGTTATAGCTATGGTATATTTGTGATCAGATCTCCTTTTAGATACAGTCCACAGTGTTTCCAGCCATATAAATCTATTCCTAGGCTTAAGGTTCATTTGAGGAATATAAAAATGTTTGTTTGGAGAAGTCCCAAAAGATAAACCTCTTTTGTAAACTCAGAAATGATAATGTCTAAAGGAACATAGTCTAAAATAAAGAATGAATCAAAAATTAAGGTTCCTTTCTCACCCCAAGATCCCGGGAATTGTCCACATGAACCGATACATAACGGGCATTAATTCCTTTTACACAGTTGATAGTGATGTTTTTAGTTTTGTTTTTATCTTCATCTCCTGATTCCCAAAAGGTTTCTGTGGAGCCATCTGTCAAGCTGCCAATCATGGCAGGTCGGCTTGATGTTTTTATGTCAACAATGCTGGTCAAGTCCTTTAAGCACATGACTATGCATAACTCCTAACAGAAAGAAATGTAAACATTCATAGGATTAAAAACGAAATCTTTCTCGATGAAAAAACAAGCAACCAATAGTAAATAATGTAATCAAATGGTTTATGAATCATTTTCTACATTTCCCACTGTTAACTATTAGAACAGACATGTAAGTGACTAACCTGACTCATGGCTTCAAAGCCAGACTGTATGCTGATACTGAAACTCTCCTCACTGTCTCCATCGTCTGACTTTGACAGGATATTATTAATGTGATGGAAGACATTGCTCTGATGGAGGAACTGATGATCAGACTGCTTGAACTTGAGGCTCCAGCATCTAAAAGTGTAAACAATACACAAAGCAATTATTTTCTGGGACGATCCAAGAGTTCTCAGAGAGGCTACTTCACTTCCCATTAAATATATTAAAAAATGCAAATACTTCAGTAAAAAATAAACATTGAAAAATTTCAGAGAATATAATGATGGAAACACATCTTTTGTTTGAGAAATAAAGGTAAGTTCTAAAGAAAATCTACCTATTTTAAATATAGAAAAAAGGGGGATATGGAGGCCAGGGCCACACCAGCAAGAATGAATGTGTGGTGAAGAGGAGCATTACACCACTCTAACAGCTTTTGCAACTTTATCCGTGTGGTAGTTCTGTAATGATTTATTGGGGTATAACATTTCCTGCACTTCAAAAATCTTATGAGGATGACAAAAAAAAACAAACCAAAAATCTGTTTTCTACTGGTCTTATCATTAGGGACATGGGAAACCAAATCTTTCTACCAGCTTATTTGTCATAGACATCATGGAGGATTTATAGATGTCTACAGTACACTGAATCAATCTAAAGTTACAGACTAACGCCACATTAAAATGAAGTGATATTACTTAAGGTGGCTTGAAATGGCCTCACACACCAGAGTCTAGAATCTACATTCAAGCCCCATGGCCCCATTTTGTTTCGGTTTCTGAGATTTCAATTACATTTGTCTCTTTCGGTTACACTGAAATAAAAGAGAGGGAAGGTGAGCAAGATGAGGACAACAGTCATTTGGGTTCTAAGAAGGGCAAACAGATACTAGCTAGAAAGAAAAAGGACTAGGACTTAAGAGATGAAGGCGGGGATCACCATTTCCATTCTTTGCATTTTACCATTTAAAGAAGTATTTAATACTTTGCATACTCCATAAATTTTTTCTTGTGTTAAAATAGGTGCACAGTTACCTCAAGGCCATCTGCTGCAGTGAACTGCCGCTGGGGAGGGACATCATAAGGTCAGAGATGGTTTGAAGTAAACAGTGGAATGTATGTGGTAAAGGGTGAGCAGCTTCTCCTGCAATCACTATGTCAGAGAGTGGATGTTCACACACTCTTGTATCTTTCTCCTACATTAGAAAGTGAAAAAGAATTCATCAGTTTGTATGCTAGAAGGGACATTTTAAAAAAAAGAATGTTATGTAACCACAACTTAAATGTAATAAGTACAGTTTCTAATTGTATTTGTAACATTTCTAGAGAAAACTGATAAATTATAAGTAAAATTATCAAACAAATGCAAATCACATATACATATGAATTCTAGTATACTTGCCTATCTTAGAAGACTAAATCTATGTGTGTATGCATGTATTTGTATGTGTATATGTTTGCATGTATTTTGTGTATCTGTTTATATATTAAAAATTATACATGTTTGGAAGTTGGGTACTCCCAGTTCACAGGACTTTTATGGGCACTACACATTAATAGAAAATTTGCAACAGAGATCATGACTATTATTATCTATGCACTCAATATATAATATTCTGGCAGATGTTATTCTCATGAATGGAAATAGCACAGTTTACTTCTCAGTGTACATCAGAACAAGCATTTTGTTTGTTTTCTTTCTTTTAAACAAGCTGTGTAATAAATCACATATTCATATAGGAAAGTTCATAGAAGTACAATTACTAAATCATTTTTAATTGGTTTATACAGGTGTTGCCAAATTTCTCTCCAAGAGGTAGTTACCACACAGTGAACATGAATGTACTTGTTTTTTCATTCTGTTGCTAATGGGTGCTTATCAAACTTTTTGAACTATGTCAATGGGCTAAGTAAAACACAAACATGCTTTTGCTTCTTTGAATGTCTTCTTGAGTAAGAACACCATACAAGTTCTAGTTTACAGCATCTTCTTCTAAAACATGTTTTATTCTCCGGATCCCATCTAGATTCGGTCAAGGCATGGCAGTCAACCTGATTAGACATGATATTTTCATTTCTGCTTTACGTTTGGACACTGCCCTCCCTGCTAACGTGTGTTCCCTACTTCGGGGCAGCACATTTATCCCACGTGTTGCTAGGCTACAATGGGAATTCTTCCAGCTTTAGATTCTCTATGTAATAGACACTGTTTGTAACACTGCAGTAATATACATCTTCTTCTTGATTACTTTATGACAATGATATTCAATTAGAAACCAGCTTTAGTCAGCATCTTTGACAGACAGAAAACACCAAGTATGATTAACACTTTGCCTATAACATCATTGTATTGTTGTTTTGCTTTTTTTTTCCAGGTCAAATAATCTGTCAGTTATTTCATGTAAAACATTATACTACACCAGAAAACATACTGCTTGGTTTCTACAAAAAACATGGAATTATGGCCATATACCCATGCACATATGGGAGGTGCTAATTGGACCGCGGTTGTTACTAGTAACAGTACCAACAACAAAGAGGACATAAAGCAGGAAGGGAGTAGAGTGGGTGGCACTGGAGGGAAACAGTGGCAGATGGGTGTGATCAATATACATCGTATCAATGTATAAAGCGCTCAAAGAATAAAATATGTAATCCAACGAGGAAATTATGGAGTGAAAAAGAACAAAAACTCACTTGCTCTGCATTTTCTTTGTTTGTTTTATTTTCTTCATCCTCATCATCTTCTGCTTCTACTGGAGAAGGAGTCAGCGCTGCCACAAAGTGCCAGAGAATATCATGCAGAGACGTTGTCTGGATGACGTTACAGAGGAGCCAGTTGAACGCCTGCGCAAACAGAGATAATGGGAAATAAATGTGAGCTAAAAATGCAGGCATTATTATTATTTAGAGATGAACATGCTATATAATGTGGCCCTCACAGAAAACACAATAAATTTGAAATAGTCAATTCTGGTCTTAATTAAAAAAAAAAAAAGGCAACAAGAAAACACCATTTACAAAATACAATAAAAATTCTTTTTAATATCAATTTATTTTGTTCAAGGAATTTTTTTCTAACCCAGATTTAAAACTACTACAAGTCCCACACAAGCAGCAGTTTGCTTAAATGTATAATTTCTAACAATGAATGTGACAAATTATTTATTACATACGTGTTAAAAAGAAGAAACATTTACCATATATAGGCCTGGGAAATACTGTATCCCTATTATTCCATAAAACGGAGGCCTGATAAGCTATTACTGGTAAATTTCTAACTCATCTTTTCTAATTCATCTTTTTTTTAAATTTACTTTATGTGCATTAATGGGAGGGCATCAGATCTCTTGGAACTGGAGTTACAGACAGGTGTGAGCTGCCATGTGGGTGCTGGGGATTGAACCCAGGTACTCTGGAAGAGTAGCCAGTGCTCTTAACCACTGAGCCATCTCTCCAGCCCCCTATTCATCTTCTTTACATGTTTATTATGTCATTTCATTCTAGTGAAATGTTCTGAATTAAAAAAAAAAGTTTAAAAGATAACCTCAGATTCAAGTAATAAAGTTGTACAGAAATAAAGATTTAGCACAATTAAACATAAAATTCTAAATTTATTCAAAAACCTTAAAATTTTATTTAGATGTGAACATTTTGTTCATTAGGCCAATGCCTTTAATTTGATGCAATCTGTGGTAAAAATAGTGGCATTGTTAAACAGGATTCCTATGTATTCACGTAATATTGGTATCATTAATGTATCTGTACCTCCATAGCAAACACTCGGCAAGCAGACTTCCTCAAGGCCTGCTTCATTGCTATTTCAAGGCCTTCTAGATCATGATGCTGTATAACAAATGCTAAAACTGGCCACTGGAAATTTCGCTCTCCTTTGGAGAGAGAGCTGTGGGCTGAGATTAGCCGGGAAAGCTCAGGTGATGGATGTCTCAAGAGGGAAGACCCAACTTCTAAAAAGGAAAAGAAAATTAGTCGTCTTCATAGCTAGTATATAATCAATGTACTAAATACTGAAAATATCTAGCCTATTCACTTCAAAGTCCTTTGTTCCTGCACATGACACAAATCATAACAATCTCAATTAGTGGTAAGGAAGAAACTCTCACTACACAGTTCTTACTTCCTTCAAATCACACAGAAACTATGTTGAAAAGGGAGGATTTGAACAGGAACTGACTCTTAAGTTCATACTTCCTACATCACTGTAAAAGCTAAGTAGCTTGCATTGTACCTGAAATCTACACCTCCCTTTCATCAGTTCTTAAAAGGCACAATCCAGGGTCACCTGTGAAGGGAACTCAGTGAGGATTGGTCTCAATTAGGCTGGCATAAGGGTATTCCTCAGAGATTTTTTTAACTGGCTTAATTTTAGTGGAAAGATGTACACTGAAAGTGAGCAGAACCATTTACTGGGTCAGGCCCAGGACTGAATGAAAAGGAGATAGAACGCTGAGCACTAACAGACATGGATTAATCCATTGCTCTCTGTTCTTGACTGCAGAAGTAATGTGACTAGCCTAATTAATAAACAAAACAAGCAAAAAAAAAAAAAAAAACGTTTCTCCCTTCAGTTGCTTTTGCCATGATGTTTTATCATAGAAACAGGAAATAAAACTAACACAGTGTCTCAATAAAAATCCTAAGGTATTTATTGAATAAGCCTACAAATTATTTAATAGTGCTCAATAGTATTTTTCTGGTGAATATTAACAAACATAAGCCATGTTCCTTCAGTCCATGCACTTGAAAGGCTGAGACAAGAGAGTTGCAAGTTTGAAGCAAGCCTGGGCAATACAGTGAGTATCTAAGAATAAGGTAAAAAAATCCTTATAATTGCAAATCCTTATAATTGTCCAGATTACATAACTTAAAAAACCCATTAAGAGTTAGTCCTGTCTCAGAAGTTCTGTGTCTGCTCTGTGTGATGCTGCCTTGAAGAGCTGTGAGCTTCTATGGATGGTGAGAAATAGCTGAATGCTTAAGCACATTTGGACCTCCTAGGTTCAAGGAAAGGATAATGATAGTAGCGTGTATGCAGGGGGTTAGATACCTAGCAAGTTAAGATCTTACAAGGCAATTTATTGAACAAACATTGATTGATATGAATATCTGATCTCACTGAGATACAAAATGTAGGAGCATTTATGACTGGGCCAGATAAAAGTACAGTCTATCACAAACTAGAAACAGATACACTGCTTTCCCCTCAGGTACTACATTTTACAAATTATCTGCAGGGAAAAAGTTTTTGACAGCCTGCTGACTAAATGCTTTTCTATATTTGTATCTACCAGTGTCTCCACTGTTAACTCTTCTTCTAGGGATGGCTTTAACTCGTGCAGGTAAAATGGAATGCTGCTTGTCATATTCAGAAGCGACGACGGAATATGACCTCTGGAAGACAGTCCTCTTAGCCAAGTCGGTGTCCGTTATGGGACTGGTCTCCAAACTGCAGACACATAAAAGAACAGGGTAAAAATTCATGAGAATCAAGTAAATGAAGTGCAATTATATTTACTTTTTAACTGTGAGTCGTCAGGCAATATTCATTATAAAAGATTTTCACTCTATTTCAGTACCCCATTGTAATCATCACAAAATTTATTCATAATTTACTTACGGTTCTACAGATTTCTAACTAATTTCTTAGTCTTAGAACAGTGTTGGCTTGACATTTGGGCTGTCTTTTTATTTCATCTGGCTTTTTACCTGATTTCCACATTTAAGCTTTTGTTTTTATTAAATTTGTCATAAACATCTGTTTCTAGGGTAAAGTAACTAGAGAAATTTTCTTCTTTTCCTTCAGGTGGATTTTCTTCCAGGATTTTTTTTTTAATTATTACATGACAAGCCAGTAATTTCATTTTACTAGCGTTTCAATGGGCAAACTGCTTTGTTTCCCAGCTTGCTCTGCTAAAGCAGTGTGTATTTCCTTGGATTTCTGTTCCCAGCCATACTTGGTACACACTATTTATTCCTCCCAGGGATAACACAAGCTTTCCTTTGCTCAGTGGAAGCACTCCCTGGGACCCGGATCTGTCTGAGCCTCGAATCCCTCTCACTTGATTTGATTTTCTATAACTGGATTTTTTTCCCTACAAAAAAACTTCTTTCTCCATCTTTTTCATGACTGTGGCCAGAGCAACTCCAATTCTACACGTCTAGCTGAAATTTATTACTAAATTACCAGCTTCTTAAATGATAGGTGCCACTCTTGCATTCCTGCCATGCCTTTCCTCTCAAGGATTCAGTGGTCGCCAAGTTTCTCTGTGCACTGTATTTCCTGAATCATGTCTGGCACCGACAACAGAGCTACATGGGAAGGCACTGAAAACAGTGATCCAAGAAGCTTAAGATTCATGATTCGTGCTCTGTGCCATTTCTCCATGGTCTAAACGTAGCCTCAAAGTCAACTTTCCCTCCTCTGACTAAAGGCATCACCCACAATTAAAGGTTTCAATATACTCTTTCATTGCAACATGAGTTGATCTTTTCTCTCCCAGTGGTCTGCCTCCCATCAAGAACTCTGTTCGTATTTGTATACTTTTCCATATCTTTCCATTAGCTAGCACAGCTGACCCACTGCTCTTCCTAAGACAGAAAGCCGTATAAAAGGACTGCAAGACTATTCTTTTATAGTTCCTCCAAACACTTGTCACTCAGAAAGACAGAAGTAAAGTACCTTGGTGGCATAGACTTCATATTGCTCTCTGGTTCTTCAAATACATTGGGACTTGCATCAGGAGTTACTGATATGTAGGGGGCAGGGACAGATGTCGAACGCAGATATCTCATTTCATCCTGGAACAGGTTGTCATCTTGATAGCCCACAAAATTTTCATGATGGTGCCTGCATTAAATTAAATCCAAGAATGTAAGAGTATAATGGTGATATATATATCTTCTGCATTTTAAATCTTCCTTGAAAAAAAGCAAAGCAGTACATACAAATCTACAAGTAAAGGGTAAATATTTGAATAATTGCAGAACAGACCAGTAGAGTCTGGTATTACTTTCCAGGTACCACAAACATCCCAAACTTAGAGGGATCTATTTTGTTTTCTCTTGAGAGCGTTTCCATCTTTTAGTTCTTGGTGAATGCCCACTGACTATCGAGGTGCTTAGGTGAGAACATCTGTGTTGAACCAGGCCTAGGCCTCAGTCATCACTAGTCATGCAGACCCATGACAATAGCCTCCTTTTACACCATTCTCTCTTCTCATTTTGTGTCATCACTGTCACAGTCCAGGCTTATATCATTTCTTGATGGGCTGCTGAAACATTCAGTTTTGGGTAGGAATATATGTATGTCAAGTTGGAAAACAACTGATAAGATATCCCTTGTGTTAGGGTGTATCTATCCGTGGAGAGCGGAGACTAAAAGCTTAAGTCCTCCATGCTGGCACTTTGTTTTCTTCCCATGTCTTATAGTTTGGTTTCTATTTTAATGCTACATTGCTCTACTTATTGTATGCGCGTGTGTGGGGTATCAATGCTTGTCAAGGTGCATGTGTGGAGGTCAGAGGAGAATAGTAAAAGTTGCACTATTCCTTCTACCACGAGGGTCAAGGCTTTGGACTCAGCTCTCATTAGGTTTGGTGGCAAGCAACTATCCAGCGAACCATCAGCCTGCCTTGACTCATCCTTTTTCAAACCAGAACAAAATATTGTAAACCTAAGATAACTTAAGATATGTTTGTATTTGGCATGCCTTATGATTTCTTTCTGGTCTTGAATGCTTTACATTTCCTTTCCCTTTCAATATGCCCTATTGTAATGAGTACAAACAATTTTAAAAGCCACATAACTTTGCCATTTAAAAAAAGGACACCTTTCAATGGAATGATTGGCAAGTCACAACGGCAGGCAATATCTAGAACCCTTCATTTATCAGCAAGTGGAAGAAACCCAACTCTGGAATGTGAAAGACTATTTTATAGTGTTAGTATACAACACAAGAAAGTGCAGGCTGCTCAGGCCAAGTGCAGTGGAGTCAAAGCGCACCATCAACATTTCTCCACCCTGACTTAGATCCTTTGTCCAATTTCTGTATTCGTTTCCACATCCCAAACTATGACCTTCCCATTGCAAACCACGGTGACTAGTTCCCTGTTTGAAATTCTTCCCTCATTGCCTCTGGTTACGGGAGAATCAGCACAAGCTACAGAGCTCCACATTCCACAGATCACCATTTCAAGTAGTCAGACAGAGAGAGTGAGATGTCCCTGGAGTCTGCTCTGCCTCAGTTCCTGGCAGATTCCTATCATGAGTCCTTCAAGAATCAGGTAAGCAGATGGCCCCCTGGGACGTGTTCCGTGGTTGCTTAGGAAGACTCACGTGCTCTATCAGTCCTCTCAGCACCCCATGCCTACTTCAATTTGAATGCACCCGGCACACCTAACAGGACACTGTGAAGGGCTTCATGACAAGTCTACCTTCCCGCCAGTGCTGAGTATAGTCAGGACTTTGACTATCCGTTTCAGTGTCCTTGGTGCTTGCCTGGTGCTTGTTTAAATGTGAACAGAATGAAGAAAGAAAAGACTTCTACAGGAAACATCAGTTTCTCTCCTCTTCAGTATTTCTGATTCAGAGACTGAAAGTCAACTAATAGAGACTGAAAAATACAAATCTTACTTCCCAGGATATGGTTTGTGTATTAATAGTAACAGAACAAATTGACAAAGTACCCAGTGGCATCAAATGAGCGCTCTACTCGCAGTCACGTGAGTCAGGGCAAGAGAGAAAGTGAATTCTGAAGGTTTGTTTGCTGCATACTATCTGCAGGAGTGTGCAGAGGAAGTCTTGAACCATTCTATGGTACGATATTAGTCATCAGAAGCTGTAACTCCGAAGGCGATTACAAACAGAAACAAAGCCTATTACCTAGCTAAGGTCTGCAAGTAGAGACAAGGCATTTTCACAGGGGGGGTCCTCAGAAACACCTTCTTTCACAACGGGCAGCTGAGACTGGAAAGGCCTTGCAGTATGGTAGCACAGGATGCTTGGTTCTGCAGCGCTGCTCAGGGACAGCAGGAAGAGGGCATTGGCTTTGATCACCTGGTGTGCTTCCATGGTGGGCAAGGCACGGGGGCGTCTTTACTTGCATTGGCTTTCTTCTAGACTGTTTGACCTGGCAAAGAAAGAATCGAAGTTACTGTTTCCTGCTTATATTATAGAGATAATTTCTTAACTTTTTCTGTTTCTAGAAATAAAAAATATTTAAAAACAGTAATAGTGATGCTGAAACAAACTATAACAAATCTAGCAATGGGGACCCTGGGTAGGGGTGGGGGTGGGGGTAAGGGGAGCTTTAGCAGAAGTCTCTGCCTGGGTTTGCCATTGGTACGAGCGATCTCCGATTTCAGAGTCCTAGGAAATGAGTGGGCATTAAGGAAAAGATATGAGGAGAAAGAGTAGAGAAGCAAAGGGGACAAGACAGAAGAAGGACGCTTCTTTGGTTTTGTTTTGTTTTTTTTTGTTTTCCAGACAGGGTTTCTCTGTATTGCTTTGGGGTTGTCCTGGAACTCGCTCTGTAGACCAGGCTGGCCTCGAACTCACAGAGATCCACCTGCCTCTGCCTCCCAAGTACTGGGATTAAAGGCGTGCGCCACCACTGCCAATCAAGAGTGAAGCTTTTTATATATGTGTAGTACAGGAGACAATAATAAAGAATGACCATAAACATTTGTTAACAAAGCCTGTGTACCCAAGGATATAACCTATTTATAAATTAAAACCCGTTTGCTTAACAAATACTGAGTTTGTATATTGTTTTTGTTATACAAGCTGAACTTTAATATCAATGACATGAAATTAAATAATGTACATCTATATCATGAACTATATATAACGTGAACGAAATGAAACTACCTTCTCCCTTGCAGCAGCCTGCTTTTCACGGAGGTATTTCTCTCTACAGCGATCACATACGAGGTACCAAGTGCTTCCTCCCATGCCCCCATCTCCACAGTTACCAGCCCAGCCGCCACAAAAATGCCCAATGCTATTGTACCCTTGTCCACCAGCGTACCGGCCACAACCTTGAAACAAACAGAAGACATGTGTTTAACGTTCTGGATGTCTTTGACCCTTAACATCAACAACAGATACATCTTTTCAAAGTAAGCAAAATCCTGAAGCAAGCATCTCATTTTTAATACATAAGAAGCAGTATGTTTGATTTTGAAAATAAATCTATCCATTAAATGATGTTCAAAATGTTTGAGATACTCTATTTTTGGATGAGCACATTAAAGAAACAGGGGAATATGGATACCTGTAGATTTATTTAAGAATGACAATTGAATATACACATATAAAAGAATGATATTTCAAAAATCAAATATTTGTAATACCATATGTGAAAAGGGAAGAAATATTCATACTGGAAGTTAATTTTAGTAATATTAATATATGAAAATATTTACCTAAATACAGTTCTCCGATAAAGCTAATGACACTTACATAAGAAAATCCCCCATCCCAATCAATATAATCTATTTCACTGATAATTTTTAACAGGATTCTAAATCAGAAGATCTAATTTAGAATTATATCTCCAGAAGACAGATGGAGGTGTGCCCTCTTGTTTAGACATGCTGTTATTTCTACTGCATAAAACCTTTGGGTAACACAAAATATTTTAAAATGTTTTAAAATTTGCTACACTCCAATTAAATAATAGTAAATTTCTTGATCCCATTACTATTAGAATTTCTCTATCTCTTTAAATAAACTATCCATGGTGGTCCATGATATAAGATTCTATAAATCTGTGCAACTGTTTCCCTACACTTTGGTGTAATTCAGAGGACAGTTGAAGTTAAAGTGATCTAGGTTACTGAAACTAAAGCACATACACACACAACTGCATCACTTACCTGGGTGAGCCTGTCTCATGTGGTAGGTCACTGGGTATGGGTGTGACTCTCCACACAGCTCACAGATAGTGTCTTTTTCTGGTCCGCCTACTGCCAGCTGGGCCATTTCTCCAAACAAATTGCCCCTTGGCCGAATTTCTGTCTTTTCTTTTTTCTTTTTTTCCTTTTTTGTTTTCTTATTCTCTTTCTCACACTCTTTCTTTTTAAGGACTGCACAGGAACCTGGACTTGGAAAAATCATATTCTGGGAAGCAGCCTTGATTGTAGCCAAAGAGATATCTTCCCAGAAAGCCACTAAGTGTTGTAAGGTTAAGGGAAGCGGAGACTTAGACTTCATCGTATGATGCACAGACATTTCAAAAGCGGCTTCGGACTTTCCATCCTCACATTTTTCATGGAGAGGTGGCTCCTTAAGCATAGATAAGACTTTATTTTTGTTGATACTCCCCATCTTAGATATATCTGGTCCATGAGGCGCAATGTTAAACATATTGAGAGCAGATGATATTTCCAATGAATGTCTATTTTTTAACTTTATTTCCTTTTCCTCTGTGGGTGGTTGGCTGTTCAAACTGCTTCTTATAGGAGCATGTTCTTTGGAAAGTTCAGGATTAAATTTCAGGAAGGAAGAACAAGCCATTGCATCGTGTACTATGCCTTCATGCCACAGAAAAGAGGCGAAGACGGCCCTGGCACACTCAGCCACAGATGGAGACATGGCTTGCTTGGCTGGCTCTAGAGGTTTGGCTCCATCTCCTTTGAAAAGGAAGTTAGATTTTTCTTTTTTGGGCCTGGTGTGTCTATTAGCACATTTCCGACTTATTTTGGGTGACGCTCTCATTTCCTGCTCCTCTTTCAGGGGTGCTTTTCCTATGCTGAAGTGCACTTTATTTGAACCTTCATCCACACTCTTAAAGTCACTGTTTTCGTCACAAGTGCTGTCTGTGACACTATTTGTTTTTAAAGTACTTGAAGTACACACTTCCACTACCTCACTGTGGAGGTTTTCCTGTACCACATGGGGAGACGGGGCTCTATTTTCAGATCCAGGGGAGTCTTTAGGATCCTTTGGTACTTGTTTTGGTTTTGGTGATGTGGATCGCCCCCTTAATGGTTCTGTGAGGGGCATTTTCTTCTTCCGGAGGGTATCTGGATCAAGTGTGTATGAGTCTGACTTGGAACGTTCCCGAGGAGGATCAAGTTTTGTCTTAGCAGGAGCTGTGCTTTTCTGAGGTAGATTTTTATCCTGCGGTGAAGAGGAGCGTGGAGAACCAGCACCAGATGGGCTAGACCTATTACTTGGGAGAGTCTTTGGCTTAGGAGATGATGACCTAGACCCTGGTCCTGGGGATTCAGATCTGAAGCTGGACGACACCCTCCCATCAGACTTCAATGTCTGCAAGGTGTTGTGGTTAGGGGACAGTGACCTACTGTGGGAATCTGACCTCAACTTTGCAGCATCAGATTTTAGCATGAGGGATTCACTAGCAGATAAACCTTCTGTGCCCCTTGGCTTCTTCTGGTCAGCAGCGGTCCGGCTCATGCGCCCATCAGGTTTAATCGATCTGCTGTGTTTAGAGGACAGCTCTGATTTGCCTGATGTAGAGACTGGTCTTGAAGATGTTGAGACGGTTCCTCTATCACCTGTATGATCCATTTCACAAAGAAACTTGTTAATAAAATGTAACTTAATGATAATTTTACCACTAAATACTAAAATAAAAACAACTCCAAAATCTACATTACTTATCATATATAAAAATGTTAATAATATAAAAAATATCTCATAAAATTTCTACAATATCATCATACATACAATACTACTATATATGTTTATAGATAAACTATTAGTTATATATATACATATATATATGTATATAAAATCCACGGCCCTTTTATGACTAATTAGAATTTAAACTCATCAAGAAACTAGAAAGAGAAAAAGCACTTTAAAAACTAAAAAAAAATATCATCCATATGAAATAATCACGTTAAGATATTGAGGAGAGTGAAACTTAGCATACTTAAGGTAATGACATAGGTCTTGTTGCATAAAGAAGCTTCATCTCTATAATTACAGTATTCAATTGTAAAAACACATACAATTCGGGTTAGTAAAGAGCCTGGAGAGGAAACATCTTAATTTACTGTTTTGATTAGAATGAGAGGAAAGTATGAGAATCCTAAAACTGTTGTGTATTTCACGGGAGTCAGGTTCTTTGTTATTTATAAACAGTTCCGTTAAGATCTCAGTAAGCTTAGCTGAAGGCCCCTGCAGACAAAAGAAAGCAAGGATCTCCCAGTGAGGACTAAAGTCTGAACTGGGCCCTTCGTGTCCAGAGAAAACAAAGAAAAACCTGGCTCTAAGTACCCTGGCCTGTCCTCAACCTTTCTCTCCTGCACAGCACACTTCCCTTGGGAGCAATACAGTCAGGGGTGGCCCTGGCTGGTGGTTCAGTGTAACACTACTTTCCTCCTTAAAACAAACAACAGCAAAGCCACTGCTGTTTATAGTGCAAAAGCTGTCTCAGAAGCAAAACAGTCTGGTCCAAGTGATTCCAGTGTTAGGAGAAAGCAAAAACCAGCTAGGTGTAATTACATGCTTTTGGAAAAGAGGTTCTAGGAACCTGAATTTGCTACCTGGGAATGTGAGTAAGTGTGGGTAATGTAGGAAAGTGTAGTCACACCGGAGTCATCTGTATATCAGAGCAGGAAGTGTTAGAGAATTTGTCCTCCTGGAAAGTTATCCAGGACAGGTCTGTGTCTTTTACCATTCAGTGATACAGTGTTAAGTAAGGTCTTGCAATATGGTTCAATCACTTTTTGGTGAACAATATATACTCATGTCCTTGAGTCTTTTCCTTCTACCATTCCAGCACATTCAGGTTCTCTGAGAATCCACTCTTTACAGTTATGGAGCCACTGGGTAGGGTTAGAATCAAGATGAGTAGCGCTGTAGTGAAATGAGAGGCATACCAGCCACGGAGAGCACAGTGGGCAATGAACCTTTGCTTCAGTTGCGACATTCCAATATTAGGAAACAGTTGCAATTCTTTGAAAGAATAAAGGTATTTTGAATACTATTTCTTGCAATGCTTTACTATTCCATCATGAATTTTCTTTCTTAAACATGGAAGTTGGTCTCTCCCTTCCTCCCTTGTTTTGGTATTGGCACTTTGTGCTCATTTAATTATATTCTCAAAATACATTTTGAGATTAGAATACATTTGCAAACAGCTATCACAAAAATTAAAAATATCAATGCTAACTGAGAGAACAAGGTAACCAAGTGTGCGTTTGACAAGGAAGAGCCACACGCTGTTTCCCAAGTGGTCTAAGAGGCTGCTGTTAGATTTATCTTCCCGATATAACAAGAGTGAAAAGCAAATTTAATTTATAAACAAACACACTGGGAGTTAACTAAGCCTACTCCTAGCCAATTTTAAGTTTGCTTCTTTGAGTTATAGGGCTTTTGTTGTTGTTGCTGCTGCTGTTTTTCACCTAAGACTTGCACGTTTTTAAATCGCCCATTTCACACTTACTTTAGGAACTGCACAGTAATAGTGAACAATCGAGGTAAGTAAGCAGTACACCTCATATTTCAAGACCTTACTTCAAAAATGAAATTTTACCTGGATTTTCCAGTTCATAGGAAATACCCACTTACTTTAGGACTCCCTCTCAGTTAGAAGGGCTCTGACAAGATTAGCCACAGCTGCTCCAGGTGTGAATAGACCTATCCAGGAGCACACGGATGCAGAGTGCTGGGACTGCTCTACAGTGCACACCCACTTAGCTCTAACAGGACAATCTGTCGGGTATTGGGAACACCACTTGTCCTATAGGCATGTGGGTTACCCAGAGGGTTAGAAACCACAGACATCTGCAGGCTCTACCTCCGTGTCTCCAGTAGAGCATGCTTAAGATCTGTTGGAATTCGAGTGCATGAGAATGGCAGAGAATCTGTTCCTAAGATGTAGTTATCAAAACATGACTAAATCTTTTTGAAGGGCATACGTCTTCAAAATGTTTAAAAAATATTTTTCCAAAAGACTGGTAAGAGCAGTAAACATGTAATCTAATTTTTGTTTATAGTTCTCACATGACTTTCAAAGGATTATGTAGCATGATTAAGTGTTACTAAAAATTATCATGTGGATGTCCCCAAATAACAATAAAAATATGTACTTCATTAAAATTATTGAACCATACATACTTTCACATGTAGAACATCATTTGGCTTAATACTTATATTTATAATATGGAAATCTAAACACTAAGCAAAAACTTCTAGCCTCTAAGGAATCATTAAGAATGGGCTATAAAAAGTATGTGGAGACAAATTAAATGTTACTGAACATGTTAAATTGGAAGGATTTATTCATTAAAGTACTAACATGATTTTTCTCAGCCAAATATTAGTCAGAGCATATGATGCCATAACAGAATATAATACAAATAATACTATATTGTAATATGATATGTCACAACATGTTGTATATATTTGGTTGTATGACCTAATATGCTAAATAACATATATGGATCATATATGGATCTGTTTCATGATTCTATTTACTGTACTTTTTATTTACTACTTATATGCTTTTTGTAAAATTTTGTTTTACATTTGTTCATCTGTGTATGGTGTGTGTGTGTGTGTGTCTAGTGTCTGTGTTTACATGTCAGAAGACAACTTGTGAGAGTTAGTTCTCTCTTTCCACAATGTGGGTTCTGGGGATGGAACACAGGTTGCAACACTTGGCAGCAAGTGGCCTTATGTTTAACTGAAGATCACTTTATGGTAAAAATATTTGAGTAAGCATTTGCAGTACTCTAAAGGACCAAATGTTTATTTTTAAATATTTTAAAAATGTGTCTATCAGTCATTTAACCCTTCTAAATTTAAAATATCAAAAATAAGTCACTGTAAAAACTGAAAAAATTTATGAATGAGGGTAGTGTGTATGCACATGTGCATATATTACTCCTTAATAATTAAATTAAAAAATCTTTTAACTTAATTTTCAAAATATTTCTAGACAATTAGAATGGAACAATGTATTCAGGCTATATACAGTAATACAAGTTTGAGACCAGGTTTGCATATGTGACACTACATTTATCCACGTTTATGATTTTCACGTATCATCTTGTGGCAAGTCTTCTCATATTCCTAGTTTATACAACCTTACAAAGACTTTAAAGACTAACAAGAATATGATACCCCAAATATGACAAACATGCATAATAGGATAATTTATAATATAGTATGAATAGGTATATCATAAATAACTTCAAATTCTAAATAAAATGATTAGCCTTAATTTAAAAAATGGAATGGCATGACAATGACTGAGGTGAAATGAAACTTTCTAGGCTCATCCTCCATCACTAAGAATGGCCCATTCACAGATGCATGTATACCCACCCTTCAGTTTGTGAGACAGAGATGAGAGAGCAGAGGCAGGCCCAGCTACACCAAAATTTTTGTAAATGCGCTCACGAGAAGCAAGGTTGCGAGATGGAGATTCTACGGTGGAAAACATTGGCAAAGAAGCAGCACAGATTCAATGGAAAAAAAAGCTTACAGAGAACACAAGCAAAAACAAAGCATTTCAAACGGTCTTCAATTATACACTTACTTAAAACTACTCTGAGCTTTTCAAAGGGTTTATATAAAGATAAGATTTAAAACAAAGGTCAAATTAGTGTATTTAGATGAACTGCATATGTAGTATGTCCAAAAATGTTATTAGTGAGGCTTACAGATCTGATAGATCAAATTTGATCATTTCTACTTAGACGACTATTTCTTTAGTTTCCTAAGTTTCTGTGCTTGTTTACCTGTTAATAAGGATTTATATATAGAAATAATGGTGGTAGAGAGATGTTATTTGTAGTTTACCTGTTGCCTCCTGGTTTTCAGAATGAATTCATTACTATGATCTCCCAGATATGTACCTCAGAATGGCCGAATGTTGACATCTGCATTTGTCTACTTTTCTTAAGGCTAACCCTAGTATTGAGTGTTTGTTTTATAGATGTTTTATCTAAGATATTAAATATTGTTAGTAATAAGTCTCATAACACAAATAAAGTACATTTAAAACTCACTGGGAATTATTACACATTTTACTGATTTTTCATGTAAAAATGAATGTGTATGCGATATTTAATAACATAAACTTTAAAGCAGAGTAAGCAAAACCAATCTGAATTTTCATCCCCCAACATCACATTTCAATCATGGCAATTAAAATTAATCAGTAGCTCTGAAATAAACTTTGGTAATCAGATAACTTTTGAAGACATTTTTGGAAATAAAAATCTAAGAGGGGGCTAGGGAAATAGTCCAGAGGGTAAAATGCTTGCTACGCAGGCACGAGGCCCCAAGTTTGGATGCTCAGCTCCCACATAAAAGCATGCACCTGTACCCCAGCACTGAGAAAACAGAGACAGGAGGCTCCTGGAGCTTCACTGACCAGCTGGCCCAGAGCAAACCGTGAGTACACGTTTAGTGAGAGACCCTGTCTAAACAAAAGATGGCAGAGAGCCATAGAGGACAATACCCAATGAAGACTTCCGGCCTCTACAATGGACATGCATGTGTATCTGCACACATAAAGGCACATACAAGCAATATA